GTTCATACCGTATCACTCGAAGACGGCTCAAGTGGTGCTGCACGAGCGCGCTATAGGTTTCTGGCGAAGTGTCCATTATGGTAACGATATTGACCTGGCCAAGGCAACTGAGAATTTGATCAGTAGGGATTGCATCCCACTTCCTCCGATGGGTGTGTTGATCACCCGATTTACTCTGGTCCAGGGGCCTGATGATGACCACCGGTCTTTGGTCATCCGGCTTTCGCATGCCCAATATGATGCGTTCAGCATCGCGACCCTGCTAAAGGATCTCAAAGCCCTCTTTGAAAGCACCCGTCTGGCGGAGGCCCCTTCATTTGCTGCATATTTCGAGGAGTGCTTGATAAGCAAGTCTGAGCGCGCCATCGACTTCTGGAGAAAGCTTCTCGAAGATTCTCGCATGACCTGCCTGGGCAATAAATCACAAGCATCGGGCTCCAACATTCCGGTAGAAGATGAACGGACTATCCTTCTCCCTTCTCAGCTTCCACATGTGGAGACAACTCTGGCAAGCTTGATCAAAGGGGCTTGGTCCCTGGTTCTCTCCCGGCTGGGGAATTGCAAGGACGTAATGTTCCTTCAAACAACGAACGGCCGGCACCTGGCTTCGGAAGAAACTTACGGTGTCGTCGGACTCTGTATCAGACGTCTCCCAGTGCGGGTAGCGCTCGATCCTACCTGGACGGTCCTGGATCTCCTTCGGGTCATCCAAAATCAGCACAGTGACACCTTGTTGTTCGAATCGGTTGAACTGCAGGAATTGATGGAACTTGGCTCGCTATGGGGCCCAGGGATGCAGTGTGGCAGCATCCTAGTGCACCAGAACGTGAACCCAGAGAATTCCTTCAAAATTGGACAGGCGAATTGTTCGATGCAGAGTGTGGCCAAGCCGTATCCGACAAATCATATACTGATTGAGACAATCCCCAGCAATTTCCATCTTCGTGTTCGGCTGGCAACCTCAAGTCATATCTTGGACAAGTCAGGTGCGGAGATGGTCCTGCAGCGACTCTGCGACACCATCATGCTTTTCGCCAGTTCTCCCGGTGTCCCACTGGCTGAAATACAGATGATCCCTGCTAATTGATATAAGACTACATAGATAAGTGGTGTAAGATCGGAGAACAATCGATCCATATTATAATACTTGTTTCCTGGCAAATATTCTGTAAGGCACAATTCTCTTCCTCTTGCCTGAAATTATTAATGAACCAGATTGGATTAACCCATCAATATAATCCTAATCTGTACGTTATCCTGTCCATTTAGCAAGAGCAGCCCCGTGGTGCGGTGTGCCAAGAAAGACAAGAGATTATGTAGGAAGGAAACCAGCTAGTGAGAGAAATCCAAAGAAAAAAATAGCTGTCTTTGCCTTTCTTTCCGACAGTATCTAGGCTCTATATATAGATAGGATCGCGCGATATATACTAGGCTCCCAGTATTTCTAGACAGGGGGAAAGCACCCACGATAACTATGAAAAGATGTGCTCTTTGCACAATCCGAAAGTTACAATCACAATCGTATCTCGATCCAGGCACTTGAACGCGGGGCGACACAGAACGAAGTGTACGCACCCAAGTAGTGAACTAAACTTTACAATAAACATTTTTCTCTTTTTGAAAGTTGCAATTCGGGACGAAAGAAAGCCTCTGCTCTTTGAAATTCCTCCAAGCGATTAGTATCATGGAGTGAACTCCTTCAAAACTAAAGAGTCCCTGGTGTATCTGCAATTAGACTGCGGCAAAACCGCGGTTTTGGGTATCATAGTCAAAACCACAACCGCAGATTTGCGGTTTTGGATATCACTTTGAAAACCGCAACCGCAACCGCAGATTTGTGGTTTAACCACGGTTACCCATGGATAACCGCAAGAAAACCGCACTAGCATAACTCTCGCTTCTTTAACCAATTCTAGCATATCAGGTGACACTTATGCAGCTTACATACTCTTGTTTTAATTGAAAATCACCTGTTCTGGTTAGTACAGTGAGCCCGGTTGACCTCTCAGGCCAGTTGTTCTTATTGTCCCTACTGTCCCTATTGCCCCTATTGGTTGTAGCTCCTCTAACGTTTTATATACGTGTACCCAGGCAATATGCTCCTGGGAGTGTACGATAATAAGCTATTCCGAAAACTTAAAGACAAGGAATGTGTTGACAGGCCACGCCCGTATATTACTCCTATTCGCCTTCGCTGCAATTGGCGCACATGATTGGTCCGCTTATTGCAGTTATATAACCTCTCGTAGTATAAGAACGCACGCTTCTTCCCCTTTACTTTCTTTATCTTAACGATTCCTCTTTGTGTATATCTAGTTATTAGATAGCAAGGCATTTCGCCCTTGTTAAAGTATGTTTGTTTGCCCTAAAAGTTAAATAAAAGCATGTAAAATAATAAAAATATCTAAAGGTCCTCCATAGGATTAGGCACTGGACGAGTCTATATTAGCCAGCTGCAGTACAGATGGTCTAATATAGACACAAGCACCTACTAGGAATCGAACCCAGTACCTCTAGATTACTAGATCTAATGCATTACCACTAGACCATTGGTATATTATAAGTAACCAAGAAGGTACATGGCATTATATGTCACGGACCTGACCTTGCTATATAGTACACTGAGCTCGATGACCGTTCGGTCATCGATTTGCGCCTTTTGGCTGTGGCGTAGTGGTAAAGCTCAGCACCACTACGCAGTCGGACTTAGGTCCTCACATTATATCACTGCCGTGAGGTCCTGGCCCGATCCTAGCATCACCATTCACCAAAGTCAGCAAGTAATATTGCTTCCTTGCAACGAACGCATGCTTCTTTCCCTTTACTTTTATTATCTTAACGATTCCTCTTTGTGTATATCTAGTTATTAAATAGCAAGGCATTTCGTCCCTGTTAAAGTATGTTTGCTTACTCTAAAAGTTAAATAAAAAGTATGTAAAATAATAAAAATATCCAGAGGTCCTCCATAGGATTAGGCACTGGACGAGTCGATATTAGCCAGCTGCAGTACAGATGGTCTAACATCGATTCAAGCACCTACTAGGAATCGAACCCAGTACCTCTAGATTACTAGATCTAATGCGTTACCACTAGACCATTAGTATATTATAAGTAATCAAGATGGTCTTGGGCATTATATCATCGCCGTGAGGTCCTGGCCCGATCCTAGCATCACCATTCACCAAAGTCAGATAGTAATATTGCTTCCTTGCAATGCATAAGTCATTGTAGCATTAGTTTGCAATATCGGTTTGTGTAGTTTCTTGCTTATTTTATCTTTTATATTTGGTTGTGGGAGGGTGATAAAGCATTGTAGTATATATAAATATCCACCCTACTGCTTACTTTGATCCTTTTTCTTAAATAACGAGCCGAATATTGATATATCGCCTCTTATTTTGCGTAGCTAGTAAGTGGTGTTTGTCTGAGATTTTAAGATTACTAAGGAATTCAGGATGTTGTTGTAAAATATATATTTTATACAAATAGAAGTTAGTACACTCTCTAGATAGAACTTTATAAGTATTTCGTAGGTTGACTAAATCAGGCTATTATAGATAAAATTATTACTGAAGAATAGAGAAGAGCCTATTATATTTATATTTTTACTTTAAATTTAGTATATTTACTTAAAAATTCAGGAGAAACCAGGTTTCTATTTCAAATTGCTTGAATTTGGTGATTTTTTCATTGCGGTTATCTTGTGGTTATCCATGATAACCGCAAGATAACCGCGTTAAAACCGCATTAAAACCGCACTACCATCGCTAGTCACCCAATTAACATAGAGTATAGTTTTGTACAGGTCGAACTCGCGGTTGCGACCTGTTTATCTCCTAAATAATAGGGGGAATTCCTGTAAGTCCCTCTCCCTTTCTCTTCTCCTGATGTCTCTTTATTATTTCTAGTTTCTAATCTTTAGGAACTTACGACAATGTCTCAGTCCCAAGTATCCTTTTATTCTGATTCCTTTATCAATCCCGATCTTCTTCAATCAGATGACCTTCCTGATTTACCAAGCAGTCAACCAACTGTGACTTCTATTCCTTTTACTCCCCCCCTCCGCGATTTTCTTATGCGCCGAAGTCACTTGAACGTGTCGGATCTACACTTCGAAAGTTCTGGATTCTCTATGCTACTAAACCTGAGATGGATGACTCCCGGAAACAATTCGTGGAATAGTGGTTAACAACTACATTTGGATTGAACTCTTAATGCCGAGATAGCTTACATTGGGATGGGAAAAAAAACATCAGTGCTTTGGGAGCATTTTTTAAACAGGTTGCACACGAGAAGACTGGCGAGCCCAAGGTTATGTGTAAGCGGTGTTTTGCAACCCTTACTCATCCAGGTTATAAGCGTACGGGAACCTCTGCACTTAAAGCACATCTGAACGGTGGTACATGTCGCTTAGAAAAAAAGGAGGCAAGGGATTGACCAGTTAATACGTGAATCAGTACGTTTTAAATATTGTTTTAAAGATATAGAGAGAGACTACTAATATTAGTATTATCTAGCCGCGTGCACTAACAAAGGTCTTTACCAATAATCTTTTCCAGCGAAGAATTCTTAACTTTATTACCACCGCCCGTCTCCCATTTCGTATTGTTGAACACCCAGAGTTTAAAGACCTTCTCGAAGCTGCCCAACTCTCTGAATCAAGGCTTGATATTCCTTCTGCGCGGACTATCCGACGACTTTTAGACAACACTGTCCAGGAAAGGCAACAAAATATGCTTAGCAAACTTCCAAAAGGAAGCTATCTCTCAGTTGCACTTGACTGCTGGACATCTCCCTTTTCCCAGGCATTTATGGCAATTACTGGATATTTTCTTGATCAAGAATGGAATTACTGCGAGGTCCTTCTTGGTTTTAAGCATCTCCAAGGATCGCATACCGGTGCTCACTTAAGACAGACTGTGATTCGAATACTCATGGAACATAATATTGATAATCGTGTATTATCAATTACCACAGATAATACGTCAAATAACAACACCATGATGGTAGGTGTCCAAGAGATAATTTAATCGCAAGCTCTAAGTGGGACTTCTGTCTTCCGAATTCCATGTATTGCGCATGTTATCCAGCTTAGCCTAAAGGATCTACTTGGAAAGATAAAAGCAAAACGAACAAATAAGGAAGCAAGACTGAGTGGTCTGATCCGTACACAGTCACTACAAACTAGCTCTCGGCAGCCTACAAGGAATATTATGGGAACCTTAAAAAAGGTAAGTATATCTTCGCGCTCTCTTTATACTTATACTAATATATATTATCCTTAGATTCGAGAGCTGCTGTCTTTATCAATGCTAGTCCACAGCGCAGGGAAGCTTTTCTTACCCTTCAAACTACTGAGCCTAAGCTTGTTCCGATCCAAGATGTTCGCACACGCTGGAATTCTACCTTTCTGATGCTTAATCGTGCCAGGAAATTACAATCAGTCTTTGATCGGTATTGTATAACATATCAACATATTCAATTTAAGCTAGATGAAGAGGAATGGCGCCAAGTTGAATATTTGCTTCTGATCACTAAGCCTTTCTTTGATTTTACTAGTGTATTATTAAAGACCAGAGATGTTACAGTTCACCATGTCTTCAGTATCTATAATCGACTATTTAATCATCTTGATGACGTTGAGAAGAAACTGAAACGTAAAGCTGTCCCATGGAAAAGGAGAATGCTTCAGGCACTTCAGTCAGCAAAAAAAAAGCTACTCAAAATACTACACTGAAACAGACAATGAGTCATATGGCACAGTCTATGCAATTGCAACAATTCTCTGTCCATCAAAGAAGCTTCGATACTTTGATAATGCGGATTGGAGAGGAAAAAATAAGAAAGGAGAGGAAGTCGATTTCATGAAGCATTACCGGGAGGTTTTACAGAAGGAGTTTAAGCGATATCAGCAGCAGGTTATCCAGGAAACAGAACCGGTTGATAACCAAGCAATCTTTGATCCTGCTGAAAATGAGCTTGAGCTATTATGTGAATCACAGACAGCTCTACAAGCTGAAGTGGATCAACCGGAGGATGAAATAACACGGTATTTGGCAAAAGATAAATATTCTCTATTTCTATACTATTCTGAAGTTAATTAATTTTATAGGGCTTACAAAAGGTAATCCTCGGGTCTTCTGGAAGGAGCATGAGCACGAGTATCCAGTTCTTGCAAAGATTGCACGAGATATCCTCTCAGTTCCTGCGAGTGGCGCTGGTGTTGAGCGGCTTTTTAATTGTGCTCGTGATGTCTGTCACTATCGTCGGGGACAGTTAAAGCCAGGCACAATTAAAGATCTAATGCTCCATCTCTTCTCATCTAAGTTTGATCTTGAACAAAGCGAGCTAGAGATGATTAAAGAGTATCTCTCTGTCGGAGAGGCTGCTATGCTTGATCAGACAAGACAGCCTGTTCCATCGCTTAATGAACTCGAACCAATTAGTGATAATGAAGAAGAGGGTTGCGAAGCAGAGGATTTATCTGAGGATGATACAGATGAATCTGATAACGAGGCAGAAGACGGGTTATCTACCACGCAGCCTGTAGCTCAAACTAAGCAGGTACAACGGAAGCGGTGCCGAAGTAACAGCTCTGAGGCTATAGATGATGCTGATAATGGTCTCCCACTTCCCGATATGCCAATTGAGAAGACGCAGGCGCGGTCAGGGAGGGTTCGGAAGAGGCCTAAGCTACCTGAGGGATTTGAGATTGATAAGCTGTAATATTAGAGACTTAGAAGAGAAATCGAATTTGGTCTAAAAGTGTATTCTAAAGGTTTTAAATTAAGAGACATAGGTAATCTATTACATACTAGATACTCCAAAAATACTGCGAAAAGTGCACAATTTATGCATTCACTGGAAAGTCACGAGTTTCAGCATGTTTGTAATGTTTACATATCCATGGATAACCGCAAAAACCGCGGTTTTCCAAAGTGAAAACCGCAACCGCCCACAGTGCGGTTTGCGGTTTTTAAATCAGCCCCAAAACCGCAAATTTGCGGTTGCGGTTTTGGTTATCCGCGGTTGTCCATGGTTTTGCCGCAGTCTATCTGCAATGCGAAAAAATGTACTTAAAAGCACTTGCTTTTCCTGCTTTCAAGTCTTTCAAGGCTTCCTCAACACCTTCTAGGCCGCCCGCTCGAACTTCATACGGATGACCGGAGCAACTGCCGTGCTGCAATGCCCTTGTGAGATACCGAGAGAAGATAAAACCCAGTTCCTCGTTATTCTCAAACTCGAGTTGGTTGTGCACTGATCCCACAGAAGTGATCGATTTAGTCGCAGGTGACACGTCCAGGTCGTTGGGCAGTATAAAGTCAATTTGTCCACCCGAGGCGACTGAATGCTTCAAATCCTCTGCGCTCTTTGAAATGATAACAGCATCAATTGCTGTCAAATAATATGGCCGTTGGTGGACCAGAATCATGTGACTAGGTAGAGTTGTTAGGGACCTACCATATTCGGTATGGTCACGTGGCCTCACTTAGTCACCCATCTAGATAGTCAGCTCGCCTGAGCCCCTTGAATTCAGAGAATTGTGCCTCGCGAACATTACCTCGCACACACATTTACCCATTCGGCCATCGCGGCCGCAGATAGAAGCTCCCCAGCGAGTTCTTTTAGTCCAAATCTTTTATATAGGTTGAATCGGCTACTAGCCCGTGACACATATAATCTGACAATTATCCGGGATTAATCGGATAATCGATCGTAAATTATGATGGATAAGGATTATCCATCCGAGCGGTAATGATTAATCATTGCCAAGCCTGACTCTTTCCTGTATTATTGTCAAATAATATGGCCGTGGGTGGACCAGAATCATGTGACTAGATCGGGGTAAAAACCCCACGGAGCACACAACAAAATAAGAATCAACAAGAATCAAGAAGAGCCCAACCAGCTCAAATCGTTCAAATAAGACCTTTTTACCAATCGTACTCTATTTCCCCTTCGGGACTAGCCCGAATATCTGACGATTTGTAAGTGTTACGGAAACACTATAATCCGCCCGACTTGGCGGTGCGGAGTATATGACGATCGATTCAACCCCTGAATCCTTTAGATAGGTGAGCACCTAGATAGGAATGCAAGAGACTCAGTTGGTTGAGATACTGTGATTCCTGGTGTTTCCACTGAATGACATCTACTTCCTAATGTGGCTAGTTGGCCTGTAGCTGATAGAATAGCTCCCTACGCCCCATTTCCCCTGAGTTCACAACAGTAAGTAATTTACTTAGTGTATTTTAGCTCTTGGCAACCTGCCGGGCGGTTAATAAACCCATAGAACCGCCCCGGGGACCATAGAATTGGATCCGGATACAGATCAGAACGGATCCTTTCGAGGTCTAAGATAGGCCATGTTATTTGAGCTGTTGGTGTCCTTCCCTTTTTTAACCGAGTTTCAGAGGAATGAATAGTACGTAAAGGCAAAAAATTAGATAAATCTGCTTCCGAATCCATGTTTTGGTTGATATTTTAGCATTATCAGATAGGAAAGGTGGGGTAAAAAGTGGTGGGGTATTCCTGATCCGGGATTGTGGATAATCCGTGGATTATCCGAGCGGAAATTATCCTTGCCCAGTCTCGTCAAACCAGGATTTGAGCTAAAAGTGGGGATTTTGTCGCATTGGTACCATTTACTTCTCACTCAGGTTGAGAGAACAGGATAATCAAGCAATGTTCCCCTGAATTTTAACAACATAGAGCAATAAGTCTCAGAGAAGACAATCTCTGTAAATGTCCCACGTGTCCACCTGACTCCAGTAATAGCCTCTCACAACAAGGTGCTCTTTTTCAGAAAAGAATGGCTTATCTTGCTTTATCTGTAGTGCTGATACAAGAAACTGTGGTCTGATAGCGACACACGCTCACCGCATCTGTATTGAAACTACTGGAGAACGCGTGGTGCGATCAACATTGACAACTGTCGAGCATGAAGGGCACGATTGGGTCTGAGTTTTTTACGCCTTTCATTCAACTTGAACATGGTTCATCAAGACGATATCCAAAATACGCGTAATGCCAACCCTTGCCTAATTCGATAGCGTCAACTAATTTCACAGTGACAAGCTTGGTGCCTATGTATGCAATTTTGTTAGCTGCGCTTTAAGTGCCGACGTGCGATATTTAGAGCTACCTACCTTTTGGAATCCTGAACGTTCCCCAGAACGCTCCATGAGAGATGCCCACGTAAGGTGATTGAGCCCCATGTTTAACTTCCAGTTTGCCCCAGCCAAGCAAGTGATCCTTACTAGACATTTCGTTTTCTGGCAACGTCAAAGGCCCATGGGTCTTCCCAATTGGCTGACTATCAGCAAGGACTTCAAATACTTCCGCAGGGCTCCAAGTATCAACAATAGTGAAAAGGATGTCTTGATTCTTAGTTTCACGTTCAACATTGACTTTTGCAGTCGCTCCCAGCTTAAAAGGGCCAGCGGTACGCGTCTGCTTCCAGTCTTTCAATTTCTTTCCCACACAAGGTGTATACTTCCCGCAAGCTCCGTAGAATGTATATTGGACTTTACCTGCCATCCTATTGGCGACAAGGACATCGTCTGCCAATGTACCTGGAAAATTGTTTAATTGCATTGGTTATCTTTTGTAAAAATTCAACTAGGCGCCCTTACCAGCCGGAATTAAAAAATTTCTGTCTTGCTCACGAATCACTTTTCCACCAATGGTGACATCTAGACTACCTGGTTGAGTGGCTGTAAGCCACGTATCCATAGGATAGCGATAGTCTCTGTTTTTCTCTTTTATTTGATTGTTATATTTCCCATTAGGATTTGGCAATTTCATAGTTCCCCTTCTAGCATCAATTTCCTCCTTTTTAAACTGATATTCTAACCATTTGCAGGATGGATCTGGGTTTGGTTCAGGCTTAGCTTGGCAATCTCTCCCATCTGCAACCCCTTTGAAGTAAGCCACATATGCCCGGTCCACAATAAGGCGGAGAGACACCAACCATTGGTTAACTTGCGGGCTACTTTGCAACGATGAGTATTTAAATTCTTTGATACACACTCTTTGTAAATGTCGCACACATTAGTAGGAGCAGAGGCTCCATTAGCAGACGTAAATATAACAAACAACCCCAGGATAGTTGCTATATATATAAGATGCGTCGTTTTAGAGTGGGTCATAATGAAATGAAAAGGGAGAAGTTCCGTGAAATATGATACACAAGGTATTAAAAGGAATATAGAGACATGATGGTGGCCAATATTCAAGACCAGGTAGCTTCTAAATATACTGCTATCACTGCTAACCAAAGTGACTATAGCTAAATCTTGCAGTGGGTCTTTGGTGACTGTGTATCCTGATGAAGTCATTATTATATTATCACCCATCAAGATGTAACCTTGATGATACTGCTGCGGGTTAGAAATGACACATCTTCAAATGCTTAGTTCGCCACATCCAGATATACTCTATCCACACTTGGGGCAGGTTGGTAGTGACCGAGGGTTAAACAGGGCAAAAAAAAGCCGAGTTTTTATGCAATGCCCATGTCCGCATGGCTATATTTCGCCATGAGTCTTATTAGGTACAAGGCTTAGATCCTAAAATCGATCTTTATGACGCAGATCTAATCTTAATAGTTTTCATATAGTTTTTACTTTTATCCCTTAATAAAAATTATGTTTATGTTCTTTAATAATCTATAGATAATCTGATTATGTCTTAAGAGGAGACTAGAATAGACCCGATCTGTGGATAGAAGACTTGGAGTACTTAACGCTCACAAACAAGGTTCAAGGATCACCCACGGGTCAATGCTAGGGCTAATCTGTCCATGGCTCCAGGAGGCTCGGCAAGTCTTTCACGGAGCTTCCCGGAAACCGTGAAGACTTGCCGAGCCTTCCGGAAAGCGCCAAGCCATGATGTATATTGTCGGAACTTTTAAGCCACTACGAACCTGAGGGTGCGATAAAATCCAACTTTGAGCATTTCCTACTCCGGTCTATTTGTCCCAGGCAAATCCGGCATTGTCTAAAACTTAATGTTCCCATGACGTGAGTATCTACGGAGTTGATCGGAAACTTAGAGGCTTTTAGAGCCAACGGGTACTAGAGTTTATTCTCACACTGGATTATTTTCAACAACCTTATTTCTGATTATCATTGTATCATCGATTATTCTATAATATAATAATCATTGATAAAGTCGGGTATGGGTAAATTATAAAAGCCATGGACCAGTCATTCGAAATATATCATTGAGAAAGTAACCATATTCCAACTAAGAACACTTCAAAAATTTACAATATGAACCTACACTCTCGTATTTTCTTCCTTGGATATCTTGCGAATCTCGTGTCCGCAAATGCCGACATAGAGTGCCGCACTATTATCTCCTGCACTACGACTAGCACAACTACAACCACTACGATAACCACTAGCACTTCTACCACCACCACTATACCCCCCCCCGACACTATTACGACCACTAGCACTTCTACCATCACCACGATACCCCCACCGGACACTATTACGACCACTAGTACTTCTATCACCACCACGATCCCTCCCCCAGACACTATTACGACCACTAGTACAACTACTAGTACTACTAGTAACAGCTGTCCGCCTTGCTCCGTTACCTGCCCTCCAGAAAAACCGCCAGCAACTATAACTACAACGGTCACCACCACGCCTGAAAGCTGGTAATTAGTTTCATAAGTCCATTTCAGACAATGTACTGACCCCTTCAGTCAAACAAGTTCGCAAGCCACACCAACCCCTGTGTGCACCGACATTGTGGAAAACTGGAAGCCAATCAGACTGGATTGGACAGAAAATTATAAGAAGCCTGGTCAACCAGAACCGAAACAAATCGAAACTGACTACAATTTCCCAACTATTTTTCAACTCACCGATGACATGATTAAGTTGGAACAGTACGATGTGTCAATAGACGGCGACCATGTTGGAAAGACCTCCAACGTGCTGGAGGGTAAAAGGAAGGACTCTTGTAAGGCCGCGGAGGAATGCATTAAGAAGGGGTTTTCCCATGGAAAATTTGAAATTCCGGCAGGTAAGTGCTAATGCCTAAGTTTCTATACCTCAGACATGAAGGAAAACTGATTATTTGTTAGGCACCCATTCCATTGGGATTTCTTGGAAAATGGCTGAGCAGGAAGATATCAGTGACTGGACCTTCGGATCAGGGCAGTACCGCTTCTTGCGAGTTAAACCATGTCCACATTAAACTGTGATGCACGGCAGTTACGTGCCCTTGCCCGCTTAACACGAGCTAGGTGCGCAAACAATGGCAGAATTGATAGGCTATTGATAAGCCAAAGGCGCAAAAAGGCACAGGAAAATTGAAGAATATTTTTGGATTGTACTTCACCCTGCCTGTATGTAACTGTCTTGAACAATAATTTATCTCTACCCAACGCGTCCCTTTCTTGAACCTTTCTCTAACCTTTCTCTTTCCTCGCCGTTCATGTTCTGGAAACCCACCTTTCTCAGATTCGAAAAAAATCGAATGGCCTTATCAAATGACTCATTATTTATCCAGCAATCTCTCTTTACAAGCCCTTCGATCTTGTCGAAGAATCTTGGGCCTCGTTCCATCCTTTCGCATCTCGAAAGCGGGGACCTTTCCCTCCTGGCCTTTATTAGAAATAGAACTGGTCTGCTCGAGGTCTGGAATTCCTTGGCTGTGTGGCTTTCTGACTTCTCCCTGGCGGCTGAGCTGAGAGGCCAACACTGCCTGATTTTGCGGCCAAACGACCGGAGCGATAAGGTTAACTCTGAGTTAGGTTCAGAGGGCTCATATCCGCCACTATCTTTGACTCGTCCGTTAAGGTGTTGGCGTGGTTTTCGAAGTTGACATCGCCATTCAGGCAAAGGTTTGTCGAAGTCGGGGATTCGCGTGCAGCTGCTTGATGACTGAAGCAACGCGTGACTCAACGGTCTGTCGTTGAAAGTAACCCAAATCTAGCCTCGAGATTACCATCCTCTCTCGGGATTCTTTTCCATATTCCTTCAATGCTAGTAGTGGTGAAAATGGCATTCGGTCACAAACTCGGTATTCATTAGGTCTGTTATGTGTGGGGTCGGTAACGAGCTGAATGGTATGCTATGGTGCGAAAGGAGTATCTATATGGGAGGGAAGATCTATTCGCACGTCCTGACCTGAACTCTTGAAGGTCATACAGCCGGAGGCATGACTGATCTAATAACTCGATATCGCCGGTTCCTAACAAGGTCCTCCCATATTGAAACCGGTTCATTTGGAAAGTTGGTCCACTCTCTAATCTTGGCCGGGCGGAGTTTCCGGTCGGCGTTCGCCGGGTCGCCCTTTGTAGACGAGTCTTTAGCTATCTGAATGGCCAGACCGAGAAATAAGTGCACATGGCAGGCGTTGAGAAACACAGGATATGGTGTTTCTTGAGTATGGAGTTTCAGTTGTTCCTCAGCTTCAAGCTGTGATCTCTCGGCCTGCTCATGTCGTCGCTGCTCTTCTTCAAGGCGCTGGCGCAACTCTTGTATCTCAACTCTTGTATCTCCTGGAGGGACATTCTGGTTGTCGTTGGATGAGTGGCCATCATCAAACTGGTTTGTGATGGGATATTGTCAGAATAAACTAGTCTAGATTGGGACATCATGTGAAATATATACCCAATATCTCTCATAGAGGGGTTGGGCAGATAATCTTTCTGAATACAATCACTTCAGACCCCCCAATAATTCAACAATTAAGAGTCGTATTTGCTATATAGAGAATCTACATATAATTATATTCAGTTTATTAGTATTGTTTCATTTAAACTACGACCATCCGTGCAAGACCATTGCGCCGCCCAAAAAATATAGAAGAACGGATATACCCGCCGTGTGGGCCACGTGTACTACTGAGTGAATGGAGTAAAGTGGAAAAGGTGTGACGACCTGGTCTTGGACATCGCGCTCAGCATTTGCATTTGTAGTTGAGATGAAAAGGAGGAGTTGTCGCAACGAAATTGTTGTACCACGCGTCGCATTGCACCACTAGTCCCAATACGTTAACTATTACGTTACTTGTGATCCGGAATCGTCGAGACAACTTCTATCAATAACGGGGTTCGGTTGGTCCCTGATTACTTGATTTTTTTGAAGGATGTGGGGCGTCACAGGAAACTTGCTGGCAGACGTAGCCGGGTGTTGCTGGTAGGATTCAATTTATGAGTCACATTCCAGCGGAGCCTTTGTGTAACATGAAGTCGGGAGTCGTGAGCGTTTCCACCTACCATCTCCCCGTCAAACTGACCGCGTACCACTACTAAATGAACCAAGTAGAATGGATGATATCAAGTTGAAGTCATTACCTTTGGATGTTGGAATAATAACAGTGAATGGCCTTTGACTCTGTACATTGAAATTCGACGGTACAAGAATATTTTGACTTAGCCACTGTATATTCCTTCCTCTCTCGATCGGGTTGGACTGAAGGGAATCCCATTACAAACCTATTTTGAATACAGAAGCACGATGATAGAGATACTCTATGTTATATAGGCCAGGAGAGAGCATACGTTACATTCACCTGCGTTTGCAGGCAGGGTGATGGATTTGAGTTACATCAAAGAAATAGGTAGAACTTGTAGCTATGTTTTCTGGACCGGATTTATTAATTGATATTATAAGTAGTAGTCTCGTAATTACTTATACTAAAACTCTAAATGCTCCGAACCTAATTCCAGATTCCCGTTTAACATTTAAGAATATTAATTATTTCAGCCACACTAATACCATCTATGTGAGTACGAGGCCGGTTGGACTGTTAGGTAATCAGGGCGCTGATAAGTTACTATTATTAATCAAGATACTTAAAATGGTTCAACCAACGTCTATGCGAGCCTCTGGTGCTCTGGAATAATATATCTATGTTAAGGCCACGAATTCCTTGGGAAGAGAGTACCTAGATCTCTAGCTATCTACCATAGTCGGCGACAATAGCAAGATTAGGGACCTAGCAATTACAGGTAAACTGTCCTATGTTGGAGGTGGAACAGTGTGCAACAGATATTAATAATTAACAGCAGTATCTAAGCGCGGAGTTATTGTCCTCTGTAACCAGAACATTAATATGGACCAGTTTAAATATTTAATTTAAAGAATGGGCGAACTTATAGATAAACTAGAGGAGGGAAAGCTACATATTAATGCAATCTATCCTAAGATTAATTCCTGTTTTGGAAATAATCATGCCCTCTCGGACCCCGAAATTTATGTAGTGTCATCCGAGGTAGGTACAAATAATTGTTGTAACAAGAGGCAACTAACAGTTAATATATTCTTAGTATAACCATAACAAGTTTAATAACTACCTGAACACAAAGAAGAAGTAGTTTACCAGTTGAGGTTGGCATGCTAAGTAAGTCTACGCCTTATTTAAAGATGGTCTTTGTGCCCTTCTAGCTAATACCAGACAAGTACTTTATATAAGAACATCCTATTAGACTATATCGGGATAAAGATGGTGAAAGCTTTAAAGACTAGGGACGACACCCTATTTGCATCTTGCTACAGAGCCTATGATCGGCTGTCTAAGCCATGGCAGAAAATGGCTGATTCACTTACCTGTATGCTGTTTAAAACATATATAATAAAGTAAGATATTAACCCAGAATACACTGAAGCTACGCACTATAAGCCGGATATTATACCACTTGCAGACAAAGGAATCAAGCTCTAGTTGAGTCCCAGAGGCCATCCTGATAATGTCGGTGGCAAATTTAAGGGAATATAATAGGCTGCTGCTTAGAATTCTTCTTTATATATGTAGTGAGCTAATAATAGCTTAGTTCTCTCGTGATAACTAACCCAGTAACTGGCTGGAAGGCTCTTTGGGGGTTTAGCCCAATTTCGATGCGCGCTAACGGGAGAATCAACAGTGTTACTAATTATAAAAATAAACTAATAAAAGTCTACTGTATATTAATATACACGCTAGGAGCAGCATTACCTAGAAATATTATATTACAGTATTGCGCTAACAGCTATACTACTAGTTTTAAAGTTGATTACGGACAACCATGATTTGCAATACCGCCATCGGTGGAAGCCTGATAATGTTGTGATTTGGGACAAGCTTATAGTTTTACTATCCTTTTCTGTTTCTATTTGGCCATGAAGCTAACAGGGAACTATAAAGTCGGACTGTCCTCCATGCCGGTATATAGTATATTTCTTCTTCGAAAGCGACCCATACGGAACTCATATCCCTAACACAATCAACAGTGACCTTAATAAGGAGCGGCTGGCATTCCGTGTCACTAGCCTCACCGGTAAATTATACTGCGACCCTAATTCTTTATCTCGAGAGGAATACTTTCGCAAGGAGCGATTGGCAAAGTCGACCACCTAAATCAGGCCCTTCAAAAGAAAAAGGAAGAACTACTTCGCAGCATGCAGTCTTAAGAGTTAGGAGTTAATTTTACTCATTGGAGACCATTAACATATACTGAACATATTAAAAGATGTGTTAAGGAATAGGGTAAACTGTGACTAGACTTCATCAGAGCCCACAAATGGGCCTGAATCTCGGGCCCACGGCCCAACCCACTGTGGGCTGATGGCCCGGATTTCAGGCCCAAGCCCAACCATCAGGCCCACGATGGGCCCCCAATGGGCCCCCGCAAAAGCCCATTTTTGCATAAAATTTTGGTCTTGGCATTCATAAAGCTGCTAAATAATCAAAATAAAATACTGTTTTTTACACCTGTTCCAGTTCATCAACTGAGCTTCGTTGTAACCTCGCCTAAAATAGTAAGAAATTCTAGGAAATCTTCTTGGAATTAAAGAAAGTAAGGCTTGTTTTAAGTTAATTACTCATAAAAATCCCATATTCTGATTGTTATGGTGGTGTTTTGATGGCTTATGGATAAATTCACTGCAAACTTGTTTAGATATATATTTTATATATACGAGAGTGTGCGCATCTTTTTAATAAGAGACAGAAGTAAAAAATTAACCACTTCTGCCTGCTCTGATTTATTCATTCTTTACATGAAATAAAAGCTTATCTTCTCTACTTTGGAATTCTAATCCTAAACGATAGTATAAAGAAGTGAATTTAAAGGAATTCAGCTCTTTCTACCAGTATTCTGTCTCTGTATCTGACCAGGTGAAAATTTTTTGAGGGTATCTAAGGTCGAGTTGGGCTGGGAATGGGCTATTAATGGGCTCTCATGGGCTATTCGTGGGCTTTATAGGCTATTCGTGGGCTCTTGTGGGCTTTTCATGGGCTTTGTTGGGCTATTCATGGGCCCTTATGGGCTTTGTTGGGCCTCGTTGGGCCAAACACACTTCACTTGTGATATCTATCCAATTAGCAACTAGCTGAATATTTTCTTTTGATATGTAGACTTGTTTGTTTGACTCACAGTCCATAGCTAAGTAAATCAGAAATCCTTCTCCTAGTAATGTATCCATCTCCTTTTTTACCCTTCTCTTATTTTTATCCATGTGTTGTATACTTACTTCATTATATCCCAAAGCCAGCAATCTGACTTTGCATCATCTCTTTATGATGCAGAGATAGATAATCTAATATTTCTAACTTCTTTAAATCACCCAGCCACTCCATCTGGCAGCCAGCATACATTTGATGCCCTTGACACTTCGGTCCCTTTATTTATTCGACCAGCTATTCCTCTTACAATTCCATCCTCTCTTGAACGTGTCGGGCCCGATAGAAGAAAGGCATATGTGCTTTATAACGAAATGACTATATAATGGTAGACTGGTGGTTACATACTGATTATGGGTCCCAAAGTAAGATACATTGGGACTCAAACCACCTTTCAGATATTTGGAAGCACTATGATCAGGTCGCATCTAGTATAGACGGCGCACCAAAGGTCATGTGTAAACGCTGCAGCCAGATCCTTGAACATCCTTACTCTACAAAAAGGATGCTAAAGGGAAGGAAGGGCGTCATGGTTTATCAACAATGACAAGGCACCTAAAGACTGCTGCGTGCCAACGGTTTGAGAACAGACAGAAGGATGAAATCACTAAATTCCTCCAAAAACAGTATATCTAATGTTCTATTACTATGCTTTATTGACTAATTAATAATTATTTTACTAGAAATCTGCTCCGACTGATGTTCCTTTCTCACAACCAGCCTGGGAGGAGAAGATCTTATCATTTCTCTCAATCAATCGGCTTCCTTTTTACCTAATCGAGCATCCAACATTTATAAGCTTAATTCAGATGGCCCATAATGCACCAACTGCTCCACAAATCCCATCTGCAATGACGATACGTCGTCGGCTAGAAGTGCTTGTCAAAGATCGGCAACAAAGTGTTCTTAGGATGCTTCCTTCAGGTTCGAAGATATCAATTGCGCTTGACAGTTGGACATCTCCGTTTTCCCAGGCATTTCTAGCTATAACTGGCTACTTTATTGTGCTGATTGGGTATATCGGGAAGTACTTCTTGGCTTTAAACCTCTTCACGGAGCGCATACTGGTTCGAACATGAGTGGTGTTGTTCTAGAAACACTAAACAGCCATCAGATTCAAGACCAAGTCTTTGGATTAACCAGTGATAATGCATCGAATAATAAGACATTGGCTGATTCCCTCAGCAGGGCTTTATCTAATAATGTTAATATTATCCGAACTCCCTGTCTTGCTCATGTTATCCAACTTAGCCTGAACCAGCTTCTTGACCGTCTCAAGGCAGTTCCACTAAATAATACCGAGGAAACAAAGTGGACTGACCGGCTGTCAACTTTAGCCAAGGCAAATACACAACACCAGAAGCATGAGATTTCTTATACCTTAAACAAGGTCCGCTCTCTTGCAATTTATATCCACGGAAGCCCTTCACGTCGAGAGGCATTCAACAATCTTCAAACAGATGATCCAAAGCTTACACCAATCCAAGATGTGAGAACTCGATGGAATTCAACCTTTCTCATGCTTCGTCGCGCGAAACGACTCCGTGATATCTTTACACGATTTTGTGCCGACTATGATTGTGAAGAGATGTTGCTAAATAATGAGGAGTGGCGCCAAATTGACTATCTTCTTTATATTACTGAGCCGTTCTTTCTCTATACAACCGAGCTATCAAAGACTCGAGAGGTAACAATACATCTTGTTTTAAGATTTACAATGCACTCTTCGAGCATCTAGAAAAATCAATGAAGCAGCTTCGGCGGAAAGGTGTGTTCCATGGAAAAAGCAGATGCTTGATTCTCTTGAAGCTGGTCGATTAAAACTTGATGAGTACTACTCGCAGACAGATAGGGTTAAACCACATATCTATGCAATTAGTACAATGCTTGCCCCCGATAATAAGTTCCAATTCTTCCTATCTGATGACTGGGATAAACAATGGCGCGACCTCTACCGGAAATCCTTCCAAGAAGCCCTGGTTCCTTATCAAGAACGTCTCTCTACTCTTCAAGGCTCTGCAACCACCCCTACCGCAGCAAGACCAAGCTCAAGGCTTAATAAGATGTTGAATGGGCACAAACCACAGGCAAAGCCAGTTAGGGATGAAATAACTCAATATCTTGACAGCGGTATGTTAAACACCTTATTGCTTTAGTCTAATCCTAACTTCCTAAAAGATACTATCGATGTGGAGCCCCTTCAATTCTGGAGAGACAATGAATATCGATTTCCAGCTATTGCAGCCCTTGCACGGGATATTCTCTCTATTCCAGCAACAGGCGCTGGTGTTGAACGACTTTTAATACTGCTCGAGATATCTGTCATTACCGCCGCGGTCGGATGAAGTCTGAGAAATTAGGGATTATGATGTTTCTTTGTACATCAAGATTTGATCTTGAAGAACAAGAGGCAAAATTTCTCAAGGAATTCTTTTCTATCTATGAGATAGAGGCTGCAAAGGAAGAGAGAGACGAGAAATTAGAGGAGATTGAGATAGAGTCGATTAGTGATACTGAGGAACAAGAAGATATGAGGCAGTAGCAGTGATACAGGATTATACAGAGCCTGAATTGCCAGAGAATATCACGCAAACACGGGTTTCAGGAAGAAAGCGGAAAAGTAGGGAGGATAATGAGTTTGAGTATCATTAATATATTCAATTACTGCCTTTTGAATAATATCTTGTTAACCAAACTCTGCACGATGCTGAACGCTTCAGCGAGTAAGAATGTAAAATATAACCAGGCGGAGTAGACATTACAAAGAGCAATTTTTAAGAGAAATAATGTAAGAGAAATACTCAATATTACAGCTAAAAGAAGCACAAGTTATGCAGTCATAAGATCGGGGCATGTTTGCACTGTTTAGCCTAGTTTGGGGGCCCATTTGGGCCCCATCTGTGGGCCGTGGGCCCCTGGCTCAGCCTATAGCCTATCATGGGCCCTAGAACCTGGCCCAAAGCCCAGCCCACAAGTGGGTTGGGTTGGGTTGGGCTTGGGCTTTCGTGGGCTCTGATGAAGTCTACCTACAATTCCTCTGTACTACGATGTGCGACTAGTTCATCACTCTCAGTAGCGCCCCATGAAGGGTTATTATTTATTTAAACTGGTGTATGAGTGGCGGCGAACCGGGATCTTGTTACAAAGGAGATTATAAAAATGCTATAGCCGGACCTGAAGGATTACTACATAGTTTAGGTAGCTCGTCCGCACCGACGGTCTCCGTCAGAAATATTTAGCACTCTATATTAGAATAAGTAGTATCGAAGCCCTATCTTTCCTATCTATATCTTAACATTAAATGTAGCGGGCAGGGCCCGCAAAGTGCTCGAGCCCGTATACCGGGCACTCGCGAGGTCGTGTAGAACTCTCCCGGTCACGTGATCTCGTTTACCTCGCACACACATTTACCTGTTCGGCCGCCGCGGTCGTAGATAGAAGCTCTTCAGCGAGTTCTTTTAGTCCAAATCTATTATATAGGTTGAACCGGCTACTAGCCCGTGACATTAAAGACAGTTTTGAGTCTCCCTAGACCTTTCTATTAGGGAAAATAGAGGTAATGGTAACAACCTAAAAATATATCCTAGAGCCTAAAACTTTTGTTACTAATAAAGAATGCTTTAATGCTTCGCTCAGGACCCACTCCTTGTCCCTTGAGGTAGAAATGAACGGTGACGGCCGGTCACTTCTCCAATTGAGGTTTTCGCATACTGTCAACTCCAGATCTTCCTGATCGTTTTGAGATCTTGGTTTGATGGATACCCATTCCTCCGACTTTGCCACGATGCCACGAGTAAAGTGGAACCGTGCTTGCGACCCATCATCCTGACAACGGTACACAAGAAGACGTCTGCGACTTCGGCGAGGCATCAGCATGTGTTCAGGTCAAAAAAATAAGGACAAGGCAAGTACTGTCGATCTGTAGATTAACTCGAGTGAGGTAGTCGGGCTGAGTGTCAAAGTGATCCTGGGAGAGAAGGCATTATTTATCTTCGCAACAGTTGTCGACCCCATATCACTGCCACGGGAGAAGGCGCGTCAACCAATGTGCTTGTGCCACGCGGCAGCTGCGCGTGGTCATCAGACCATGGCCGCAACAAATAACTGCCTCATCAGGCAGGTACCAAGCGCTCCCCCACCATGAACGGGAAAAGCCTTATTCAGACCGGAGACTGTAGCAAGGAACCCAGCTCATTTAGAACCAGAAAGTCCGAAAGCGTGTCCTCGTGGCCTTCAGTTGCCCGCGGGCTGAACGCGCAGAGAAACGGATGGGCCGGGAGGTCGCGACTACAAATGGCACCACTGTGCCATTTTGAGTAGGGAGAGAGCCTCAGCCGAAATAATCATGAGTCACGTACGTGAGGCGCGGAGCCCTGAGGAAGGCATAATGCCTATGTCGATTATTGGATAGATTGATAGCCGTGTTGAAAGAGCACGGGATGCCATCTGCGGCTTGAACAGATCGGCGCCATAGACTCGAACAAATGATTACAATGGGCTTTGACGAGGCCTTGACCTTCCCACGCATGTCCCCGTAGAAACACATCGTCCCGCCTAAACCGTGGACTCCTCAGATAGCGAACTGGGGTGATAGTCACTATCGCTTCGCGCGCGCCCGCGCTTCGTCTCCCTTTCGGATGTTGGCTCGTCATCCGAGCCAGTGGCGTCGGACGGAGTGGCACGTCGCCGGCGTTTTAGTACGCCCGGCCGAATGGTGTTGACCGAGCCTTTGTGATGTATCTGCGCCGATTGCCTCGCTTCTGCAACCTGAAGAAAGGCACATAGTTGTTGTGCTGTAATAACGACCTCCTGGTCGAGGTCAGCGTATTTCTCTAGCAATGTATCGGTCGCGAAATCCCGAAGGCTCAGCCGAAGCGTAGTGTCCTCAACTGGAAGTCCATCATCTGTCCGGAAAGCCTGCTTTCGTGTTAGAGCACAACATGTGAGCAACTGCGAGAGAAACATACTTGCGCGTCCACATCAGCTGTTGTTTGGAAATATTCCTTGCCATCGTCTTTGACGTACTCTGGCCGCCAAGTCGATAAGGTGGCCCTTTGAGACTGCTTGTAATCAATGTCGACACATACCACAGCTTTGATGCTTCCATCTGTGTTCAAGATGTAATCATCAACGAGCCGCGTAACGTCGCACGAACGAAGTCGACGAATCGGGGCCAACGAGGGCCATGATCTTCCGCTCCATGTCTTGTTCAGCTCGAAGCATGATACCAAGCGACGCGGACATAGTTTGATACGTCGAATGCAACCGAGACGAGATGGGCCTGGCACAGGACCCGCCATGTCTCTGTCAGTTTCGTGGTTACGATATGTGACTGTCTGTCAAAGTGCGCGTGTCTGAAATGCTGCGTATTCTACCGCTTAATCTGGACGGTTGCAAGGACTTGAATTCATCTAAGCTACTGCAAGATAATGGCTCTATTTATGATCAATTTTGACCGCCACTTAGGGGCCAACTTACTACTGCTAGAACGATTCGTCCATACTCTATTATAAGTAGATATATATCTCTCTTTAGCCTTACTTCTACCTATCCTGCTTCGGATCTTAGGATTACTGTATTAATTATCAAGAATCTTAACGTTATTTTTAGGAGTCGTTCCGCCTTTAGAATAAGTATCGTTACCTCGTCGGACTAGTGGATTCTAGTCATCCCCGTGCTTGAACTACTACACTAGCAGGTCGCGCAGTTTAGGCGGATCCCAGGGTTTGACAGACCCCTAGACGCCTCCCAGGAAGCTTTTATGGAAGGCTTTCTCAGGGGCCTATAGAACTCATTATGTTTGAAGACGGTTATCGCCCTTCTTGCCTTTCTTCCATTAGATATTCTATTTTTAGTGCTGCTTAGGACACGCACCGCCGGGAGCGGGAACACGCGCGAATATCAAAATCCAGCCAATCAGCAGGCGAGTAAATAGAACGAGGGCAGGTTCGTTCATGTACTAGGGAAGTAAGACGACGGATTGGCGGATGGGTGGACGCTAAGCTGTCCAGGGCTCGGTTAAGGACCCGGTCAAACGATGCAATAACCAGGTCTAAAATGTTGACCGACATCTGCTGGATGCTCCCCTGCGGGCTCATCTGGGACTAACTCCTTATCGTCCCATAGCGCTCCTGGCCAGAAAGATTGCAGACCTGGATGGCTCTGCAGCCGGCCAGGGTCTGGCGCGGACGCTTCGGCCAACACCCGAAGATAACGGCCATCCAGGAATCGAAGCCAGTCTGTCTGCAGCAGCCATGGTGTGGCATCGTCCTCCATATGACGGGCCTGAAAAACAAAGAGCCGAGGATCCGGACGGGCCTCTTGCGCAGGGTGCTGTCGGTGGATCCCACGAGCCTCTAGGTGCTGAATTTCCCGGATCTATCGGGCCGTGTGGTTGCCAGTCAGGGGTGGGGTTTGCAATGGTGTGGTCGGTCGTTCTATTGGCTCCGCGTCTACGGGCTTCGGGGCCAGGGGTCGCAGCGGTCGGGCCGGTAGTTCGTTGGGTCTGATTCTCCGGTTGTCCTCTTCGCAGACGAACGTGAGCGTGGTTAGCAGTGGGCCGGACCAGGAGAAACGAGAGACGTACCTGTGACCGGATCAAGTTAGGATAGAGCGATCTCCGGCTCGCCTATCAGTATTGTGTCAGCAGCCAAGAAGGAGAGCGAATTTTCAGTGGTTTCCACTGGCATGCTGGCTGGTCGACCATGGTCCACGGGCGCGGTGGTCCAGAAGCGCAGGTATCAGCTGGATTGGAACCAGGACTGGCCTTGCACGCGGCGAGGCGCCCACGGAAGGCCGTCAGCACGATATACAGCAACCTAGTGTGTTTTACTTATCCGCTTAAACCGGGTAAGATGCCCACAGTGACTGCATTCCCACAGACCATGAAGCTCGAGCTCTGGAATCCGGGAGGAGCCGTTTGGAAGAGGCAAGAACTCATTGTGGCTGGATCGGGGGTGATGTCGCGAGGGATCTAACGCAGGTGACGCGCTCGATCCGCAATAGTCTGTAGCTAATAGACATCGGAAAGATAACGCTTTTTAGTTGTCTGGTTATAGCAATTTTGCACCCAACGCACACTATACAGTTATATTCCTTCAGGTAGGTCAACAAAGGCGGTGGTTAAGTCTTGTCGGGAACAGCCATGGAACTCCTGCGGGATGCTATAATATCCGAACAGTAGTGAGTAGAGGAATAAAAACAGTGTTATTCTCCTTACATTAAATATAGACTGTAAGAAACAGGCAGGTGGGAGCTTTTTGTTTGGGGATAGAATCTTAGGGGCAGAATTTCAGGGGGTTGGTCTCAAGATTTTGTCCGTGGAGAAATAATGGACAGATCATATTTTCCGAGCTTGCCGGAAAGGGGTTTGAGAAGAAGATGCGGTTCGGAACCGTACAGGACTAGAGAATGTCTTACTCGGCGCAGTGGATTTTAGCCAGTCTTGAGATTGTGGATTGGAGGCAAGGTTGAATCTCTGTATACCATACTGTTACGTTGGTTGGCTGGTTGGTTGTATATATATATATATATATATATAGGGGTTCGATAAACTGGATGCCCAACGCCAAGCCGGCTGACGGCTCTCAGGTTGGCTCGTTATATATATATTAGATTGAAGAACCGAAAGTATACTACCGAGCCGGTCAAGGGTCTTTCGCTACGACATCAGCTGGCCTGAGGATCGTTTGTAACAGGTCCTTTAAGTTCTGCAGTATATCTTGACATTGACTTACAACAGAGAGCTACTAAGGATCCGATCGATAATTCCAGAGCATAGTCTCTATAGGACTTAGCCAGACTACAAGCAGGCAATGACCACACGGGTCCGAAACGCAAAGATAGACAAACCGAAACAAACAATAACTTGAAGTAAAAGCAAGGCCTATTAAGTATATATACTTAAGAGGAGATAAAGCACTAATAAGTTAATATAGTAACCAAGTTTCTCCGCAGTGAATGGCTTGTATTAAACGCAAGGGACTACATAGAGCTGTCTAACTGCATGGTAATAGGTGTTATATATCTTCGTCCCTATCCTATCCTTTACTGTGTTGTGTTGTGTTCTGGATGGGAGATGTCGTAGCACTGGATAAAAAACCATGCAGTAAGTGCAGTATATCTGTCCAGTAAATCAGCGTAATACTCCAGCGCTAAATCGCTGAAAAAGTAACTTATCCGTGCAGGGCTAAGACAGGCCACTCCAAGAGCGCTTTTTAACTTACTCTTAATAGCGTGGGCCTGTTCTGCGCCGGCACCTTAGTCAGGGAGCATCCCGGGATCGGGCGTCTTATGTTGCCCAAAAAATCCCCGTTCGTATTGTAGTGGAGGAACTAGAGGGATTGGCATGTGGCATTTGTATGGATAACAGTTATCTTAAGTCCTCGTTCGAAGAGGTAATAGATAATTAACAACCTTCTCACAGACCACGGAGCGCACCTGCGTAAGGGGAATGTTGTCTTCTCTCCTGCCAGGAAGTTGTGGGCTCAGGGCCCACAACTTCTGAGCTGTCTAAGAGTGTCTCCTTGACCTACTCCTTCGGAGTTCTACCTTTTCCCTTTTATTCAGCATCGCTGCGTACATACCGGAATGGTTGGGCACAGTCGCGATCGGTAACCGGAGTCACGAGAGATAATCCGAAACCGGGACGAAAATGTTACCGAATCAACGATCCCGATCGAGAAACATTATCGACTGACGATGGGACCCGGTGTTAGGTGTGGGTGCGTCACCTAACATTACAGTGCGCTACTATATAAGGCGCTCAGGAATATCTGATCCCATAGTGGTCTTTTGGTCCAGTGGAATAGTTAAGATCCTGAGCTTGGCTATAACACCCGGAGTGGGTGGTATCGGGACGGCTCGGCGGACGAGGGATGGGAGCCGGTTGGTGTCGGACGGGCTCGGTTCGGCGGTTGACAGTGTACGGGGACTGTATGGGGGCGGGTCGACAGTCTACGGGAATTGTATGGGGCGACGGGTCTTACGTCAGCGGCATACAACGTAACGTATTTCACAACCGAGCGAGCCCCACAACCGAGCGAGCCACGTCTCCGGATCGGTGAAATAGAAGCTATTCAAAACATTAAAAATCTGCATTTTTATATAAAAATTAATTACTACACCGATTAGGACATCATTAATTTTATACCCAGAATACCACAGCCAGAACACTTCGTGGCGCCCGTATGCGTCGCTAATAGTAGATAGCTCTGCCTCTACTGGTATAGGATCTTGAGCTTCTTGAACCTGATTCCTACTTTGAAATTGTTCCTGGCCTTCCTGCATAGAAAGTCCCTCTGGAGCAGCTGTCTGTCGCTTGGATAGAGTCTTTTTTTGACGCTTTTTCCCATTTCCGCCGTAAATCCTTATTCTCTTTAAGGCTAAGGCTGTCTATTTATAGACATTGCAAATCCTTTGGCAATCTTGTCCAGCGTACTTAGTGGTAGATAAAAGATTTGTCTGGATCTTCCAACATCTTTTTAATTATAGCTATCTGCTTGTTAAATCACGCAGTGTTGTAAGGAGTTTTGGATGCTAAATTAGTTAATTAGCTACCTAGAGGTGTAGGAGTTTTAAGCTATATATTAAGCTGCTTAAATACATGCTCAGGATTAAATAAAACCAGGCCAGTTGCTGCAAAGCTATTTTTAATAATATCTGTTGAGAATCTCGGGGAAGAAGCTATGTCGTGAGGTGCTAGGATAGCGGTGACTGGATAGTATATTGAAACTATCGGTGCGATCTAGTATCGCATGGTGAGTATCTTCGTCTATCTAGGAGAGAGAGCGTAGACAAACGCTTCCTCATGTCTACGTGTCCTTTAGCCCCTTGCGTGTGATATATCAGATCCCTACGGGACTAGGATATACGAAGGTGCCTTAGGCATCCTGATTTCCAACACTCCCACTTAGACTAGTCCTTCGGAATATAGCTCGCACGTCTCTATCCAGCGCACTCATTTTCTTTACCTCTCCTCAATCATCTCCCACTGTCAACCAATCCCATCTTGCTGCGATGTCGTTCTAGCAGCTCTCGCGGTAGCGGCTTTGTCATGCCGTCTGCAAGCATCTTGCGAGTTTGGATATATTCAGTGGCGATAATGTTGCGCTCCTTCAGATCGCGCGCGAAGTGGTATGCCACATCAATATGTTTTGAGCGTTCATTCAACAACGGTTGATCAATAAGCGTAATCGCAGAGGTATTATCTCCGTATATTAGGACAGTACGCCGGTTCTCACTAATATACTTCGAATAGCCTATATCTGTTATAAATTGTGCAATCCACTTGGCTTGCTTTGCACACGAGGCCAATGCGATATACTCTGCTTCGGTTGTTGATGTTGATACCGCAGGTTGTTTACGGCTTCGCCATGAGATCGGTCCTCCTCCTAGCATGAAAAGCATGCCGGATCTTGACTTTCGATCGGAACGATCTCCTGCATAATCAGCGTCTGAATAGCCGATAACCTGATTCGCATGCCTAGAACCTGGTCCATAGCGAATCTTTAGGTCGATTGTTGATCGCAGGTAGCGTAAGAGGGCTTTTATGTCTTGAGCGTGCTCTTTGGTTGGTTTGTCCATAAACTGTGCAAGCGCGCTTGTTACGTACGCAATGTCAGGTCGCGAATAGACCATTGCGAACATTGTACTACCAACTCTTTGCTGATAATCTCGTTTGGGTGCGAGTTCATCATCTTGTCGTGCTTTCAACAATATCTTGCCACTTGGCATCGGGGCGCGGGTTGGTGCAACTGCTTCGTGATCCATATCGTACTGTCGCAGCATTTGCTTGATATATGCTGACTGGTCCAGGTAGATTGCGGTTTGGACGGTCGCGGGTTATGCGAATACCAAGGATTTTAAATCTCCCCCAGATCCTTGATATTAAGTGTTCCGCGAATTTCGCTTTAAACCTATTAATTTCGCGCACGTTCTTTGCAGCAATAAGCAGGTCGTCCACGTATAGTCCAATAAGGACACCTGTAGTATGGTTGCGGAATACGCATGGTTCACTTGGGATAGCCTCAAATCCCATTTTTTGAGCGTTTTTAACATAGGTTTACCAATCTCGCGCAGCTTGTTTAAACCGTACAAGCTCTGCTTTAACTCGAGTACGCGTCCATTAGACAGCTCAGCGCCAGCTGGCGGACGCATATATATTCGCTCTTGCAGCGTTGCTTCGGTGAAAGCGTTGTTGACATCAACCTGATGTGCTTCAAGGTCTTCGGAGTGCGATAATAGCTAGCATGATTCGCAGGGAGTCAATGCGGATTGTCGGCGCGAAGGTTTCTTTGTAGTCAACTCCTCGAACTTGACTAAAACCTCTCGCAACTAGTCGTGCTTTAAATCGTTCAACTCCCCATTCGGCGCATACTTGACTGCGAAGACCCATTTCGCGGTAACAATATTGGCGCCGTCAGGCGCGTGGGTCTCGCGAAAGGTGCCGTTGATGATAAGTGACCGAAATTCTGATCGGATAGCCTTCTTCCACTCGGGTCCATAGACCGGGTCGTTAATGGCTTCTTCGTACGTACGAGGGATCGGAATTGGGTTATCAACCTTAGGCGCGGTTTTCGTGATGGTTTCGACTAATAGTGCGAAGTGGATCATTTCATCGACCTTATCTGCCACTTCTGCTCCTTTAGTTTAACCTTTTTGATCGGCGGAGATTCGCACTTTGTACTGATTATCGTCGGTGCGTTCTCTCTTCTTAGTCGGTTTGCGGACTTCTAGCATTTCTTGCGTTCTCGCAGGAATCGGCTCTTCGTTGCTGGCTCCCACTGAGTCTCGACGCTTTCGATGGCGATCATCTAAGTGATCGTGGTCGAAACTCTCAGCAGCTGTCTCGTATTGTTCGTTGTCGGCTGGTTCTGGCGAGCTATCCCGCGAAGTTGGTGATATTTTATCCTGCTTCCTTGGTCGACCTACAGGATTCCTATCTGGTAACCAGTGGAGGTGGACTTGATTCGCAGCTTTAGATCATTGTACCGCCGGGCGTATCTTATCAAGATAACTGTCGACGCTCGAATAACGCGATGGGAGTCTGGCGCGTAAATGCGGTACTGCTTAGTGGTTTCCTATTATATCCAACAAAGATTCCAACTCGTCCGCGATCGGTAAGTTTGTTACTACCGGGGACCGATCGAGGATCAGCGTGCGAATAACATTTGCTCCCCAGACCTTTATGTGCGTAATCTTAGGGCGAGATCCTGTCCATAGCTCTTCAGGTGTTATAGCATCTTCGTCTTCGTTCATTGCGGACTGGGTATTCCACCCGATTGTGAATATATGCGTGCGCTTTCGCAGCTTTGTCCCAGAATCATTGTAATAAAGCCTGCTTGAGCATAGCTCATGTCTTCTTCGGTCGCTCGTATCGCGCGTTCAGCTGGACCGTTTTGGTGCGAGGTTACAGAACTGTTAATTAAATTTTAGTCCGTTGCTTTCTTTCCATGCTTTGCATTCCTTTATAGTTCTCCTGCTTGTCGATAAGCGCAGCCTTTAGCTTGCAATAATTCCAATTCGGCTTGCTTTCTCCATTCTTCCAGTGCTGCCGCTCTGTCGGAAATTGCAGTACCCAGTGCTTGCGGTGCAGCTATCCACAATCTTAATAAACCAGCGATTGCCATTAATTGTTGTTGGTAAAGGGCCGCAGATGTCTAAGTATATTGTTCCAGCGGTTTAGACTTCCTTTCGCTTTGCTCTTGGCCCTTGCGTTTAACTATTTTTGTCCTTGCGCAGACTCGCATACTTTAGGTTCTGCTCGGCAAGGAATTGGTTTCTTAAGATTTGTGATTTCATGGAGGTTTCGCAGCTTGCTTTTCGAAGATGGCCATTCTCATGCATAAGTGTACATCTCTTTCTCCTTCTTGTCGCGATGCGCGTGGGGTCCTAGTTCCAGTAGATCACTATCTCTTGTGTCGTATAGGCGCATTCTGCGATGTTTATAGAACCATTTATAATATATAGGTTGTTCTCGATTATCGCTTGCAACACCAACGTTCGGTTGCGGTAGAATATATGCCCTTCTCAGCGATAATACCTGCAGTCCTCGTTCGCACAGCTAGATTTGCGCTCAAGCCGGGAACATATAGAACATTTTGCAATGTGATCTTGTTTATGGGCGTCGCTTACCGTACAGTGCCGCAGCCTTGGATTGTAGTCTCCAGCACCTGTTCGCACCTTGCGTTTGGTTGTGATCGCTAAGCTTAGTAAATAGCTTTCGATTACCGTCATGTGCGATGTTGCACCGGTATCTGCAATCCATTTATACTTGTCAACGCAGGGAACGAATTCCTTGTTAGTTAACGCAGTTAAGTCCGACGAAGCTTTATAGGCGAATTTGGGAGCTTCTATAAGCTGCGTTAGGTACGCCTCTTCGTTATCAGAGTCAGAATCGGAATCTGGGTCTGATCGAGATGATTCAGGTGCTGAATTCGATTTCTCCCCTCGGAGCCAGATTGCGAGTCTGCGTTATACGCACGTGCCTTTTTCTGTTTTTTCTAGCGGCGCTTTCGAAGTTTCGTACGTAGCTTTTCAAGTTCGGAGCGATCTGGGCACTTATCCCATGGGTGTTTGTATCACATATAATGCAACGAGGTTCTTTATTTCTTTTGCAGCAGCTCGGTGCGATTGCTTTCTTGGCTTGTAGTCGGAGCTTTCGCTAGAGGTGCTATATCGCCGACGAGATTCGTTGTCACGTCTTCGATCGCGTGCGTCTCGGTGTCTTAATGGCTGCGATCGCGATTATATCTCGGCGTTGAGATCCCTTTTGACCTTTCTGGCGTCTCGACCAGGTGTGCGTCCTCGACTTTCGCACTTTTTAACTTATCCTCCTTTCTTTCAGCGTTTCAAGGGCGTCGTTAATGTCTCTTCGAAGACTCCTTGGGCATCAAGCGTATCTCGTACTGCTTCTATTCGTCCGGGAGCGATGAAGAAGTTATAAATATTGTCTTCTCGTTCAAGCTTCTCGCATATGTGGTAGCCTCGCTCGTAGTTTTCGTGCCATTCTGCGAAGCTGGTCGTGGGCGTCCCGAATGGAGATATCCTCTGGTTTGCGGTAGCTGTAGAATTCAGCTAGTTTCTCTCGCGCAACACCAGGTCGCAATATTGCATTTCTTCTTTAAAGCCTTGAACTGCTTCTTTGCCGTATTACTGTCAAGGAGGTCGTGTTCACTGTCGGGAACAAGTTGACGAATAAGAACAGTATAGCTCTGTTCGCATGCGTCCGGTTGTTCAGGACCTGCATAATCCACCAGAGCTTCTTGCTATCCACTGCTTCTTCAAAGATATTAAACCATCGATCCGCGTTATCTTTCGACAGTTTCGGAACCATCTTTCGGATATCATTTAGGTTCACGCTATCAGATATCGTTCGAAGGGGTAAAGTATCGGTCGTGGAAGGCCTTTTAGATTTCTATTTTGGTCGGATCGAACCTGCGAGGTCGCGTTCGATGCAGGTGTTGTTTTGTTTCTGGAACTGGCGTGGTAGGGGGTCGTAGACCACGGTTTCCGGCGGGCGAGTCAGGTGAGTCTGATTCCATAATTGATGATGCGACTTCTCGTAGTTCGGCGAAGTTGTACGTATCAGACATTGGGAGTAACAAAGTGAAATAATAACAAGATAAGTATGGTGTTTAGTTCTTCTCGCAGGACCACCAGAACGTCCTTCGTGCACTTCTTTATTCTATCAAGACGCTGCGTACGTCTGACTTCGCAATCTTTATTATTAACCAGACGATACGGAGCGTCTGGGTGCGAACACCTCTCTATTATCCCAGTGGCACGATCGCGTACTGCGATGGGCTTTGCTGGCTGGTGAACGCTTCGAGGGAATGTCACGTCCTCACGAGAGCTGGCTAGTGATAAGGGAATATGACCTCCTTCAATCAAAACTCCAAGCTTCGCAGTCTATCGCCGAAGTCAGGGCCCTCTGACAACGCTGACGATGACTCTTCGCAGTTTGTTTGCTGCGGACTCACTTAGGCCCAACCGTTCGCTAGCTTTACGACCTCAGCGGTACCCAGCGCGCAGCCGGGCTCATAACCTGTTGAGATTCTCGAGGAAGAAGCTATGTCGTGAGGTGCTAGGATAGCGGTGACTGGATAGTATATTGAAACTATCGGTGCGATCTAGTATCGCATTGTGAGTATGTTCAACTATCTAGGAGGGAGAGCGTAGACAAACGCTTCCTCATGTCTACGTGTCCTTTAGCCCCTTGCGTGTGATATATCAGATCCCTACGGGACTAGGATATACGAAGGTGCCTTAGGCATCCTGATTTCCAACAATTTATCTATTTTTACTCTATTTAACGATGAAACAGTTAGCCAGCGGCCAAAAACGGCTACACTTGACGCCGTTTTGCGAGTCCAACTAACGCTCGACGGCCTTGGCGTCACGTGCAAATAATCGCACGCCCAACAGGTTTACCACCACGGCCAACGCTGTTTGGTTTTCCCCTGTTGCTTGTGTTCCTGGTCCCTGACGTTCAACCATCATGCTGCCGCCCGCCTGAGGGCTGGTTCATCGCTCAACCGTACCTCAATTCCCTTGAGGAGGGGAGCCATTTTCGGCTCCCCTCGCGACCATCTTGTTCGCTCCGATTCTATAAAGGCCACGATGACCATGGCGCTCTCACACTTCTCTCCCGTCGCTTTCAGCCACTCTCATTCACAACATTCACACCACCCACAAATCTAAACTACCAGGTCAAAAGTCTCCCGACACCGCCCCACACCGAAAATATATATATATTTCAATGCTTAAAATTTCAACAACCACAATTTATTAAGACCTCTAAATACATTTAAATTGAAGTTATTCAATACTTCGTATACCAACCACGTGCTCGGTAAACTGCCATTACTCTGCGAGGCATGGAATCAATCAAATTGTCAATTAGCCTGGGGGATGGCCCACCAAGCTTCTTGGATAGCTTCTTCAAAATTCTCCAATCGCTCTGGGATTTGCCTTGTAGATAGAGATAAGGGTGCAGTTCAAGAAGCTTCCGCTTTAGGAGGTTCCACACATGCTCGATTGGGTTTAAATCAGGTGAATGGGGGCCATTTAATAACCCAAATTCCGTGCAATTCAAACCACTCCTGGGTTAATTCTGCAGTATGAATCTTCGCGTTATCTTGCTGAAAAGGCGTGCCAGGCTTGTAGTGTTCAATTAGCCCATCCTCTAGCGTTTTTATATAGGATCTAGCTGTATAGCCATTCCTAGGGCTGTTCTCATCCCGCTCCATGACCACCAACTTCGAGCGCCCACCACGCCAGATAGAACCCCAAACCATTTGCGATATAGGTTTTCCATGATAGCAGAGGTTTACCAAATCATCTCTCCAGCCCTCATTTTGGTAGCGGAAGACAAATTTTAGGCGTTTATTCGCTTCGCGCTGGACAGAACATTCGTCAGAGAAGATCCAGGTACACCATGTGTCATTTTTAAGCCACTCCCGCGCAAATTCAAGGCGTGCGCGGGCTGCTTCTTTAGAGAGGGGTATTCTCTTCTTGCTCCGCCACTTACGAATATGATATTTCTTTAAAGCACGTCGAATAGTCGAGATAGAAGCCCCCCGGGGGTCTCAAGGGTTAAGGCTTTCCACGAGATATCCGGGCGCCTACGGACCAAGCGGTACACATAGCGCTTAGTTGACTCAGTAAGCTTCTGTGGGCGACCCTTCCTAGGCCTTGATTTTGTGGTGTTGTGCTGTAGGAAGCGCTTCTTGGTATCATAAATTGTTGATCGAGTACAGTTAAACTGCTCCGCTAATCGCGTCGGCGATTGCCCAACTGATAGGCCATATACAATAGCAGCACGTGCATCGCGTGAAAGCTCTTGATTAGGCCTTCGATTCCCACTTATTTCGGTACCGAAAGACCTCATGGTGGTTGAGCAATTGGTTGTTGAAGTTGTGGTGGACTTACGCGTTCCGAGGAACGCGCTAAAGTGTCGGGAGACTTTTGGCACGCTATGGTATCTCTCACTGCCCGTTTCCAAACAGCTGGAGAAGCTAGACTTCTATCATCCCCGACTTCTTTTACATTTAAGCAATCCCTTTCCCGCGCGCCCTTTCGTCTGCCATGCGGTACTCACCTCAGCCGATCGTGTCCGATGATGACAGCGGCACGAGCAGCGACGTTCCGGATGTCTTCTCAGATGGCGCTGCAAGCCAGCAGCGATGACGATTCTGATGATTCTGACGATGATTCGATCTTAGACGACGACGAGGAAGGACAGGAGCTTTCCGCATTGCACTACCTTAAAGAGGCTGAATTTCTCGATGTCTCGCAGCTCCGACAAAAACGTTATAGTCCGAAGACCCATGCTAGTTTAGACGATACGCGGGATTACTGGGACCGGTGAGGAGTAATCAGGTGTTTGAACCTTAACACTGATGCTAACGGATGCGTCTTTCCAGGTTCTGCTATGAAGGAAAACACGATCCTGTCGAACGTTTTGGCTGGCTCTCTGATTCCGAGGAGACAATCCGATTCCTCAAGGCCTTCTTCTCCTGGCGATGCGGGCGGCGACGAAGCAAAAAGGGTCGTCGGACACCAGGAATAAAATATAAAACCTCGCTAGAGACGTTCTGGAAGTGGTGGCATCTGGTTTACAAGGCGGAGGTAGGGCAGGGCCTTAGCAAAGACACTACTGTCAAAATCCTGGATGTAAGCGGGCCATGTCTTGATGAAGCTGCTGTTTAGCTAATCGTCCGCAGGTATTGGCTTTGGTTGCTAAGGAGAAAAACCTTCTTCCTGGGCGGCGACCAAAAGCGACCATGTATATCGAAGACGTGGCAGAGTTCGCTCGCGTGCTTCTGACAACGACAGAGATGACGTTTCAGTGTGGGTGGCTTCGAATACAACTCATTCTTTTCTGCCAGCTGGCCGCCATCACTGGTAGCCGCCCAGGAGCGCTTCTGGACCTACGCTATCGGAACCTTGTGCTCACTCTTGTCCGCAACCCGGAAGGAGGACGTCCTCTGTTATTCATTTACTTGACCCCGGAGTTTACCAAGACTTTCCTGGGTGAGAAGGAACAGTAAGTTTTGCAACCTACATTCCAAGCGTTGATGGTAGTAGCCCCATGGCAGACCATAGCTGAGCAAGTTTGAAATAGGAATACTTTTCCCATTCCTGAGATCGTCTTTGACCCGACCTTGGTCCTCAGCCCCCACGTGTTTCTTCTAGGGATGCTGTTTCGCATTAAGGCGTTCAAGAACTTCTCCACAGACGGGCTAGTGGTAGACTGTCCCGAAAATCTGTATAAACTCGGCGTCTTAGATGGACTGGGACAACAAGAACTGAAATTGAAGGATGAAATTCTCGATCAGTTTGTGTTCTGCCAGGCCGTGCGCGAGGCGGATGGGATTCGAATCGCCTTGGAAGAGCAACTTACGGAAGGAGCCCTTCGATATCGAATGAAGCGAGGAGGCGAAATTACAGGTTTCGAGCAGGTCACAAAGCCGTACTGTCTCCGTTACGGTGCAGCGAAAGCATTCAATGACAGCCGTGAGTTCTCTTACCTTGTTCCGGGGTGGAAATAACTGCGTGCTTACTAACGCGACCATCTTCTGACGAACAGCGGACGTTACCAACGAGCTCCAAAACGTGATGTTGCAGCATGCTAGCATCAACACTTTCGTCAAACACTATAGCGTGGGTATCCACGTTGACGCTCAGGCGATTGTTCGGGGGCTGCCGGCCCAGAAACAGCCGATGCGGTTTGCAGCGTCCATGAGCCGGTCAATTGACCCCCGTCGACCTTACAAATTAGAGGACACTAGCGTTGTCAACAAGGTCGAAATTGTCGCCCTATTGCAAAAGCGAGTAGAGGAAAGAAAAGAAGTCCGGGACGAGATGAAGCGGGCTTTTGAGATGGCGGAACGGGACTTCAAGCAAAAATTCGGCGATTACCTACAGCAAAAGAAAGTGAGACCGAAGTTGCAAGACCCCGCTCGTCGGGCGCTCGACGCTGTAGAGCGGTGGGAGAGAAAGTACCTGCGCGCGACCCAAAGGCATAGCCGGGCACAGCGGGTGGCTCGGAATGAGTGGCAACGACAACGTAACCGCTTGGTGCGTGAGAACCTGGAACGATATAAGAACGAGCAGCCGGTGATTGACAGTGAGAGGCAACTCGCCGGAAAGGTGGTGGATGAAGAGGTGATGGGTGCTCTGGAGCGGACAGGATATATGACCCCTCAGCATATGACATTGATCGACACCCTCTTGACCATGCCAGGCTCGACTGTCGAAAAGGAGTATCAACGTCGGATTGCTGCAATCAATGCGATTATCGCTTTCTGTGACGTGGAAGAGGGTTCACCCACAAAGCGACCGAAAATTACCCAGAAACGTCGCGCCACGGACGACTTACCTTCTACTCCCCCTGCGAAAAAGCAAGAATGCACTACACCTGGGGAAGAGATGACCACTCTTTCTCACGCTATTGCGTCAGTCTGCATTAAAGCTCCAAATGAGCGGCCGACGATTTGTTTCCTTTGCCTGGGGAATCCTCGTTTGCCGGAACGTGAGCGAGTCAAAAGCTTTGGTACCCCTGGATCTCTCGGCCGTCACTTTGTTGACAAACACGTCATAAAATATCCGAAAGACATGCGGGTCAAATGCAGCATCTGCAAGGAAGAGTTAGAGAATAAATCGGCATTGATGAACCATGCTGAGAGAGTGCATGGGACCGTATCACGTCGGCCGTTGTCTGCCCTTGGCCCGATTTAGATTTTTCTAAATATGGACCTCCAGCCTAACCGTTTGCACTCCAAGAATCCCGTTGCCTTTTTTTCCTTGATGCTGCATATGTAGGGCTGGTCCCACGACATACGTTTGCTTGTACTCTAGTTCGCTTATCTTAGTTGTATAGTTCCCTCGTCATGTTATTGATGCACCTGCTGGTACAATGTTACATCAAAGAGTAGACATATGCGGCGCCCAGTATACCATCCGACTGAGAGTCAATGATGAACGGTGGCGGACATCTGGTAAAGTCCGAAGCCCAGCAGTGCGACATGGGGTGGTACTCGCAATCCAGTAAGTCGCGGTCAATATCCTAATCAAACCTGAAACAATAGAGGGGTTGGTCGGCAGTCAACCATCGTTTCACATCTGGCCAATCATTTTTGACCGAATATCATGCCATCACCAGTCGCGAACCCTCATCACCACTTTGCTGACAAAGATGGTGATGCCAAGGCCACATAAACAGAGCAAACATGGACATAACCTGAAAGAGGCATAGCGGCGATTCGGGCATGGAAAGTCATCCTCTGAGTCTCAGCTCTCGCACCGGTCTTTTTCCAGAAGGGTGAACCCTCATCACCACCTGTCTGCACAGGTGGTGATCTGCACAGGTGGTGATGAGCAAATTAGTTAAAGAGCCCAAGGGCAGCCATACTCAGCATGGCATTTTTCTCTCGTGATATGCTGCTGCTCTCAGGGGAGCGGAATAGATGATGACCGCAAAGAAAAGAACCATCGGGAAGAGGAAGCAAAATACACCGCGAGCAAAAAGCCAACAGCGAACTCGACGAAGAGATAGTCTGTTTCGGAAGGCGTTTGAGTACTGCTGTCAGTGCGATGCGGACATCTCCTTGATGGTCCGACTGAAGCATAACGGTCAAACATTTGTGTTCAACTCGAATAGCCGCTGGCCTGTTGTGCAAGAAGACGTCGTAGGTGTATACCATCAAAATAAAGAAGAACAGCTCTTAACCGCTTATCAATTCTTGCAGTATCCAACACCGAAGATTATAACCTGGCAAGATCTTGCTGCGAGATATAACGACGGAACGAACGAACCCAAGCAGAGCAAATGATCAAGCCAAGGGTGGGACCAGACCTTCTATTTCGCCGAAAGGGGGCCAAACTTGAATGCGACGAATTGTTCGTATAAGGATGGAAAGCACTCAATCAGCATGCAGACGTGACTGCCGGGCAGCTGGGTTGGAGAGTCTCGTTGTTTATACATATCACTGCAGGTTGCCCTGATGCTTTACCTGACGAAAGAAATTGCTATGGGGGCTCATTTAGAGCAGAACCTGTTTGCGGATGACGAGAGAAAGTCCTGTTTTAACGACAAAGGGATAACGGTAGTGTTTAAGGTCATTATAGGATCAAGACAAGACTTTGTATCAATAGTCATTTCCTGAGGAGTATATTTTAGACAATGAAAATGCTGGCCTAGGTCCCGTTGGCACTTTTCTCCGGTAGGGCATATTCGGATACAGCCAGGTAATGCGGACTACGGACATCAGAAATGGTATTATTTGGAGTGCAAGTGCTCTAGAAATTGTGAGTGCACCAGGAAGTGTAAGTGCACTCCCTAGTGTGGTTGCACTCCCTGGTGTGGCTGCACTTGCTGGTGTGGCCGCACTCCCTTTTATTTATTTATTTATTTATTCATAGACTGTCCCAGCCGCCCTATTGGCAGCTATGCAGCGTACAACTATAAATACAGGAGTCCCCACCCTTCGCTGTCAGAAAATAAGCTATCCCTCCTCGGATTGCTTCCCCATCAGCTCTGAACGGTTTCCTCCCAACTCATAGCCTTTCTAGCTCTTCTGTGTCTCTGGCTTGTTCATTTTGATCGGCCATTCCCAAGGTGTTGTAGATGTTCACCAGCAGGAGAAGAGCAGCTGGAAATAAGATATGCATTCTGAACTTGCGATGTGCCAGAAAAAAACAAAAGGAATATAAGTGAGGATGAGGCTTTTCACTTAATTTTGGGGACTATTAGAAGTTTGAATAACATGTAATATCAACTCCTAATATAAAACCTTCCAAGGGAGGGTTTGAGGAAAAGCTTGTATGACATCACTCTTCACACAGAAGCTTAATCCTTAGGTGAATTTTCTAGCCAATAGCAAAAGATAACTCGCCATTGTAAATTATCTATAAATATTGATGTCCTCTTTATGATGACAGTATATTTGCAAGTAAGAAAGTTTCCGAATTTAAGGCCATTTCCGCTTGGTTCCGAGCAAGTACTGTACCATTCACTGACTACCGCTACCCGTAGTTGCCTAAGCCGTACAACATGGTCGATAATGAAAGTAAACTTAGTAAACCGCCTTAAAGGATAGTAGAGATACTAGTAATTCCTCCTTTTCTTTTGTTTTTTATGGTTGTACCAGCTATAGACATCGGTAAAGTACAAAGTTTAGCAAAGTACAGTGTTGGTCTAGTCCCTAAGATTCTTGAACACCATATGCGTAGGATAAATGTTTAACCAGTTAGCTACAGCACAGCGCTATTTCCTCCTAATCAATAAAGTATCCTAGTTACTTTACAATCCATCCACTGCGATTCCATAAAACCAAACCCATGGTATTCATGTAATGATGTTTTAAGAGGATACACTCATGTCTGCGTATTTTGGCAAGGAACGATGTAAGAAGTTGTTCCTAATGTTACTGTAGCTGCATGGTTTATATCAAGAACCAATCCGTTGTAAGTCTTTCTGTTCCTGCTTAACAGATTTTGAGATGATAAACATTATGTTCGCTGGTAATAGATGAGTCATAGATGTGATTTTATTTCCGCAAACAGCAAATAATAGAATAATAGGGATCCAGACGATACTTGATTGATAATACCAAATCCTTCTCATCAATGAATGATTGCTGTTTGCGGAGTTAACAGCAAATCTGTGACTCTTCTATTACACGCTTGCGGCTCCCCCTTCCAGATGGTGGAAGATAGTGAGTTCCAGAGACTGCTCAACTCGGTCCGCTCTGGACTCCAAGGAGTGGAACTCCCATCTGCAAAGACACTTCGTTGAAGACTGCGTGAAGCTGTGGTTAGCCGACAAGTATTGCAACTGAGGGATCTTCCTGAAGATGCAAATGCCTCTCTTGCCTTGGACTGTTGGACCAGGCCATTCTAGCAAGCTTTCATGACCATCACTGTCTATTTCATTAATAGAGAATGGAGTTGTAGAGAGCTCCTCCTTAGCTTTGAGCCTTTGCATAGCCCTCATTCAGGGGCTAATCTGAGCGACATCCTGCTACAGTTGCTGCGAGAACGGCAGCTGTTAAGTCAAATTTTCAGCGTAACCACTGATAATGCGACAAACAATGAGACTTTGATCCGAGTGCTGCAAGAGGCGCTTCTTTCCACTGGTGCGATCCGTTCTCGTGAATCTATCATTCGGGTTCCATGCATGGCACACGTCATCCAGCTTTATCTGAAGCGGCTGCTGGGACATATTAAAGCAGCTCCCCACAACAAAGACGTGGCAAATGTGTGGTCAGATTCACAGATGCGTTCTCTCGGAAGTTCAACTGACCATGAGGGTGTGGCCTGCACACTTAGAAAGATCTGTTTTCTATTGACTGACTAGTAGAAGTGACGGGACTAATGGATCTTCTAACAGATTAGGTCGTTTGCAACCTTTATTAATGCAAGCCCCCAACGGCGGGACGCATTCCCGCGCCTTAAACCAGGCCGTACTCGACTCTTTCCGCTCCACGACGTACAGACACGCTGGAATTCGACGTACTTGATGCTCCGGCGGGCGCGCAAATTGAGGAACCGCATTGATAGGTATTGCAGTGACCATCACAATTCATCATCCCCAACGACGGATGGCGACAGATTGATTACCTCCTGCAATTGACGAAGCCGTTCTTTCAATTCACCATGGCCCTTATGAAAACAAAAGACGTGACGATTCACAGCGTGTTTCTCGTGTACAGGAAGCTGCTTGAACATATTGAGGAACAAGACAACGCCATGGAAGCAGGGCATGGATGATGCATTACTTGCTGCGAGGCAAAAGTTGAAAGAGTACTATGAAAAGACCTATCGTGATCATGGGTTCCTTTATGGCATAGGGACCTTGCTCGCTCCGCAGTATAAACTCTGCGCCTTTGACGACACGGAATGCTCTAAATGCCAGAGCGAAACATCAAAACGCTACTGTGATTACCTGAGGAACTGTTTTGCACAATACCAACGCGAAGCGCCTGAGATCTCATTTCGTGCAATGCGTTCCTCTTGTCCACAGCAAGCATCAGAGTTAGACCGGCTACTCATCCCACTCAGTACTTCCCAGTCGAGTGCCAGATGCGAGCCCGACGAAGTAGATCGATATTTGAGAGAGGGTGAGAGACACAAGACAATTGTTATTTGACTGCCAGCTGACTTCCGCAGGAATCGTCCAGCTCCCGCCGCGAGCCTATTGGAAAGAGCATGAGCATGAATACCCTGTGTTGTCGCGACTTGCTCGCGACTTGCTTTCCGTCCCAGCCACGGGCGCTGGTGTCGAGCGTCTGTTCAACAGTGCGCGAGATATCTGCCACTATCGTTGTGGGTCGCTTAATGAATCGACCATTCAAGACTTGATCATGTACAAGTGTTCAGAGACATTCAGTTTGGAAACTGAGCGGTTGAGCTATCTTGAGAAACCGTTGATGGAGAGTATTGATCAAGAGACTCTCGAGGAAGAGGAAGCGATCAAAACAAGTGAAGAAGACTTTGATCCAATTAGCGATGACGAAGAGGATGCAGTTGAGCAGAGCAGCACCATGCTTGCTTCAAGGGAAGGAGCAACTCAGGAATGCATGATGTCGCATGTTTCTCCTATGCATGATAGTGATGAACACGAGGGCAAGGAAGAAGACGAAGAGAATGAGGAGGACGCTGCTGATGATGGATTGCTTCCACCAATAATCCAGCAGCTCGGCGACAGATCTCAAAAGAGATCCTCAGGGAGGGTATTAGAGCCGGCCACAAATAGAATTGAGCATGCAATGATTATGATCACTTCTAGTTTCCTGGGAGATCGAATAGTAGACTGATTGCCTTGATAAAAAGCACGAACCCCTGTGAATACACTGTGGAGGAGGAACGTTACGTCACAAATTTGTGCTGTGTAATCTATCGCCGTTTGTTTGCTTTTGCGGGTTCTACGGGTACCGGTGTGGGTTTTGGGTCGGGTTTCCCGGCTCGAAACCCGCCCACTGGTTTTGTTGAAGTGAGAATAGATTGATTGATTGTTCTATTCCTTAAGTTATCTTTTACAGGAGCGGGATGCCTCATATATATACTGTTCCCAATCCCCGCCATAAGGTTCAGCCATCGTGATACTCGACAGGCGGGTTTAGGACACCCCAAATGTCGAGTATCACGGTGGCTGAACCTTATGGCGGGGATTGGGAACAGTATATATATGAGGCATCCCGCTCCTGTAAAAGATAACTTAAGGAATAGAACAATCAATCAATCTATTCTCACTTCAACATCAAACCCAGCTGGGTTTACCCATGGGCGGGCCTAAAAAGTGAGAACCCAACCCAACCCGCGTTTTGACAAGGTTCATGGTGATAACGGTCTGTCCCTCAACGTCAATGAAGCGTTGTATGCCGAAGCAGCGGAAGAAATCTCTGACAAAAGCGATGAAAACAGCCCATAGGCAAGGAGGTGATGAGTGCTGAATTGTAACCTTCCGGATGTGGCTGGGGCCTCAGCCGCACATGGGTAATGGCCGACTTGTATTCTGCACCTCTTATCACTAGCTAGCTCAGACCTAAGTACCAAAAACCTCAGTTTATTTCACAGTCTACAAAAAATGATTTGTCAAAAGTGTGAGCAAAAAGTTGTAGAATGAGGCACTGAAGCTGCGGCTGAGGATAGCACCGAGCGCAAAAATCACGCAGTCATTGGTGGATCCTGCCTGCTTCTAAGCCAGTACGAACTTAAATCAAGGTGCAACGATTATCCACTGAAAAGTAACGGAGTTCTCTCAATCAGACGTTGAAATGCCTAGTTATTGGCTCTTTAATAGTGGAGTTGACTCCTTTTCGGTTCGTTCCCTATTCCGGCTACAGATATGTCTCATTGGGGATAGGTAACAACTAAGTACCTAGTAAATCGCTGTCATGATCGTAATATATCATATTACTACGTCATCACCCTGCTGTAGGTGTCATTTGCGATAATACTAACATAATCCACATAGAAAATGGTCGCCCAACCGAGCTGATAGATAACCAGAATACCCGCGCCTGTGGATATCTGCGATCAGTCCCTAATCCCCGCATGCTCAAAGATCAAGGCCTGAGCTGTTGCCGGTTGTTTCTGCCGTGTCCTCCCACATGCCCCGTGACTGTTGCGACAAGGGCTTAAGAGATATAATTTCCCTTCATTTCATCTCCACCTGACCTCCGCAATCAACAACAATTCAACCAACTACCATGAGAGAATTCATTCCCTTCTGGAAACAACCCAGCCACCCAGACCGACTCAAAGTCGTCAAAGGCGACAAACCATACAAATCTTCCGCAAGGTCACTGATCTCCTTACCCGCGGGGTCATTCTTTGCCAAAATCTCCACGGCCACCTTCGTCAGCCACGACACTTATACATCCGTCGCCAATGGGAAGGGCTCACGGATCGAGCTCAACTCTGACCTCATCTACTGCAACCATTCCTGCTCCCCCAGTCTGGTTTTCGACATGACCAAGTTCGAAGTCCGCGTCTCGGATGACCGACCTCTGGCAGTCGGAGACGAGCTGACGTTCTTCTACCCCAGCACTGAGTGGACAATGGTGCAACCTTTTGAATGTGAATGCAATGCCGGGCCAGGAAAATGCCTTGGACTCATAGCCGGCGCGAGCAAGGTTGACCTTTCAGTTCTGAAAAGATTTTGGCTGAATGAGCATATTCGACAACTTGTGCAGGAGAAGACATGGTTCAGGTTTGAGAAGTTGCATCGCACGTAGTGGAAAAGGTGTTGCGTCGGTCGGGCTGCCGGCAGTTGAACTCTCTGGTTTAATTTATAATAATATATGAACAGATTGGCCAATTTGAACTGTTTGACGATGATACGACCAGAAAGCAATTACATGCAGAAATGTCCCTTGAAGTAAAAAAAAAAATATAAAAAAAGAAAAACCATTACGCCTCCTCTCACAAATCGTCTAGATATAAATTAAAAATTGGTTTCCACCATATCAATAGAGATATGTACCTTGACAGATGAAAACCAGATCCAGAACATAAAGGCCGTTCTGTTAATCCCTTTCTATTCACAACTCACTTATCTTCATCCTCAACATTGAAAACCTCTTTTTCCCTAACAAACACTGTCTTTGAGCAGTGACCCAGTTCTTATTTCTCATATCTTGATTCACGTCATGATGGTTAAGATAGCGGGGAACTAAATTTGCTTTTAAGAGCAGCTCTCTCACTTTGAAGAATGTTAATAATATAAAAAAGAGGAACATAGGGTTGGACACCATTCTTCATAATGCGTTATACATTTAGAAAGTGGGAAAATAATGGCATCACGGTTTGGACAACGACGATTCACTACATCAGGCGTGGGTTGGGTTACGTTTCTGGGTTAAAAAGATACCATCTGCCACAATTTGTCGACTGTGCTTTTCAAAGCAATCTCGAATTCGCGATAGATTCGAGTATTTGGTAGAAAATTATGGTGAAGTCACCAAAAAGCTCCTGTCTAAAAAAATATCTTGATCTTTGAAAGCGGGCAGGACGGTGAAGTCGGCGATCCACTGTAGGTCGGCCGAATATAGTGCAGTTTTAGTTGGACGTTTTAACGTCTGAAAATTTCGGACATCACAGTAATGTACCCAGATCGTTTACTCATCATTTTTTAAGACGGAAATGTCCATCAAGGATGCTACAGGGTGAGAGAGAACTTACACTTTCAAATGTGTAGAACAGAGACGACTACTTGGACGGATACGATGATGTAAACACTCTAAATGTAACAGTTACGTGAGTCTCGTGAGTGAATCATCAAGGAAGTAAGATGGCAGAGTACCGCACAAATACTGCATTCAAACGACGTTCAAATGACAGTTATGGCTCATGATAATTCAATATCACACGCTTGGAATTCGAATTATTCTTATCGATTCTCATTAATTAGACGAGCTCCAATCTGCGAAAGTAGATAAGGCACCTTGGCTTCGGGCTGTCGTAATTGCTGACATTATCGAGGAATTAAGCTGGATGACCATATATATAGTAAATCGGTAATAAATGCAACAATGCATCTTTCCACTTTTTTACAGCTGTCCATTTAGGGAAAATTCGGGTCGATCGATAGCACAGCGGCAAGGTAGAATGACTGAGAAATAGTGATATCGCGAGATCTCAATATTGAACACAGCTGGTGCGTTTCTAAAGTCTCCGAGAGCTTCCCCAGGCAAAAGCTCAATTCGTCTGGCAAGCTTTGACTAGTTGCGCGTCATTATGACGGATTGCATTTGTGGCGCACAGCATCACCGGAATTAGTTGTCCGTCTTTTGCTTTGATTGTAACCGATATTTTGAAAATTTTCATCCTTTGTTGGGTAAATGTAAATCGTATGCGGAAGGTTACCAGAGTACAACACAACACAACCCTGAACATACATTGACCACCCATTGGGTGAATGGACTGACCTTACTGGTTAGGTAACGTAAAGTACAGGCTAAGGGCTCCGTAGCGCAGTCTCGGGCATGGTCGCCAGCCGTTATTATAAGAAATGGGCCACCGTGTACGTCGCAGCTGGAGCACTATTCTTTTCTTATTCACATCCGCAATCTGCTCAGACAGCAGCACGCTTAATGGTGCTTAATGATTAGGATATCCAACTATCTTGTTTAGGATTATCACCTTGTTTCTATACCAACAACAGCATTTATTTAAGTGAAATCTGGTAAGTCTTAATAAAGCTACACAGATGAGCTGGGGATGGCAGGCATGATGCCAGTGCTGACACCAACTTATTGGTAAGGTGAGAATGTCAAACAATACCAAAAAGGGTCATGTTTCGATGCTACCATTCCTCGAAGGGATGACGCCGCGGTACCATGCCTGGACAGGGTGTGCGATACAACACAATATTTTAGGCATTCCGTGGCATCGTTGCGGTGTCGGGTGTTGGACAATAGTAGTCGCAGCGTGGACCATTGTAGCCGCGGCTTATTCTGACTCAGCTGAGGCAGATTATTGTTCTGCAGCATCATTGCATCGGCTCGAAAAGCCTGTTCACGTGACGGCTGACGGCGAGACAGTCGTGGAGCAGCTAGTACAGGACTTGGAAAGCCAGATGTATGGGGAAATGAAAAGTGCGCAGACAAGCGAGCGGTGCTCCAAGAAAGAAAGATTAAGACCCGGGAATGGAGGCAAGTTCAGAGCCTTACTGGTGTTGGAAGCAACGGGGAATGGGGGAGTGAATGATTTTAAGGCACTGTTAGGAATTTCTCGCCCAGCTCATGGCACTGAATTGGCGAATTCTTTCGGGCCATATACGATCGTACTTGAATGCAAGCTTGACGAGCATGGTTTGCAACTCCATATGAGCTTTGATCCCAACGAAATCAGCCAGGAAGAAGCCCACAGTGTGGCTATCCGCATGGAAAACGTCCTGAGGCAGTTGACTGACGGAGGCGTCGAAAAGGAGAAGCTGAAGGATATTGAATTAACGAGTGAACAAGACCTGCGTGACATTTGGAACTGGAATGCTACTGTACCGCCGGCGGTGGAGAGGTGCGTACATGACCTGATCATGGAACGGACCCGCCAGCAGCCAGACGCACCGGCCGTCTGCGCGTGGGACGGAGAGTTGACCTACAAGGAGCTGGACGAGCTCTCAACGCGGCTGGCCCACCACCTGGTCGGGCTGGGAGTCGGCCCGGAGACAATCGTACCGCTGTGCTTTGAGAAATCAATGTGGATGCCGGTGGCGATGCTAGGAGTGATGAAGGCAGGCGGAGCGTCGGTCGCGATAGACGCAAGCCAGCCAGAAGACCGCCTGCGATCAATTATTAGGCAGGTACAACCTACCGTCATCCTTTCATCGGCCACAAACCAAGACTTGGCGGGCCGGCTCAATATCACAACCGTGGTCACCGTTGAAGCATCCAATCTCGCACAGCTGCACTGGCCGCCTAACAGTTACCTCCCAGCGGTCGAGCCATCCAGCAAACTGTATGTGGTATTCACGTCCGGCAGCACGGGAGCCCCAAAGGGAGCCATTGTCACTCATTCAAACTTCAGTAGTGCTATCAAATACCAGCAAGATGCACTGGGCTTCAGTCCAAATGCGCGGGTGTTTGATTTCGCTTCGTACTCCTTTGATGCTGCGTGGTCTAACTTTTTACACTCGGTATCGTCTGGCGCATGCTTATGCATTCCGTCAGAGTCAGCGAGGAAAGACGATATAGCTGCTTCCATGGAGAGAATGCAGGTTAACTACGCTGATCTGACACCATCCATTGCTCGGCTTATCGACCCTGCAACAACACCTAGCCTGCGAACACTCATTCTGGCGGGGAGCAAATTACACAGAATGATATTGCCACTTGGACATCGAAGGTGAATCTAAAAATATTTATGGCCCGGCTGAATGTACTCCTGCGGCCACTGCTATATGTGTCTGTGAAAGACCCTGGGACATTGGGAATATCGGGCGCGGTATAGGGTTAACCACTTGGGTCCTTGGGTTGTCTAATGGCGGTCGCATCGCACCAGTTGGGGCAGTGGGTGAACTTTGGCTCGAAGGACCACTAGTGGGACAAGGATATCTGGGAGACCTGGAAAAGACAGCCACGAGCTTTGTGGAGGACCCCCGTGGTTGCTGAAAGGAGGACCGGGCCACCCGGGAAGGCGAGGCCGGCTGTACCGGACAGGAGACTTGGTGCGATACGATCCAGACGGTACGCTAGTCTTCGTCGGGCGCAAGGACGCGCAGGTCAAGATCCGTGGCCAGCGGGTGGAACTTGGTGAGGTAGAGCACTACGTGCGGCAGAACCTAGCAGAAGGCGCCAACCCGCCAGTGGTGGCCGAGACGATTACTCCGCGAGACAGCAACACTCCAATGCTGGTGGTGTATCTAGCCATCGGGAAGGAGGCAAGCGGAAGCGGCAACAGTGTTAGGGCGGCCGTCCAGAAAGCCACACAAGGGCTCGAGGAACGATTGGCCGAGCAGCTGCCGGTCTACATGGTACCCACCGCGTACATCCCCGTGGAGCAGATCCCGATGACGACGACGGGCAAGACGGACCGCCGGCGACTTCGTGAGATAGGTGCGGCACTGACGCTGGAGCAGCTGGCGGAGCTGCAGCCTTCGCGGGGGCGAGCGGCGGGCGCCGGCGACCGAAATGGAGCGACAACTGCAGGGGCTGTGGTCGTCAGTCCTCGGGGTAGACGCCGGCAGCATAGGAGCGGACGACAGCTTTCTACGGATCGGCGGCGACTCGATCGGGGCGATGCGGCTGGTCGGGGCGGCGCGCGAGCAGGGGCTATCGTTCACGGTGGCGGACGTGTTTGGCACGCCGCGGCTGTGTGAGCTAGCACAGAGGGTAAAGATAGGAAACGGCAAAGAGGAGACTATTGCCCCATTTTCACTCCTCAAGCCCGGTATTAGTGCAAGAGATCTCCGTGCACAGGCGGCCATGCAGTGCGAGGTTAGCACAGATCAGATTAAGGATGCGTACCCGTGCACGCCGCTGCAGGAAGGGCTACTCGCTATGACAGCCAAGCAGCCGGGAGACTACGTTAGCCGAAGCGTGCTAGAGCTCCGGGACGAGATTGATATTAGCCGGTTTCGGAGAGCATGGGAGGAGGTAATCCAGATGACGCCTATCCTGCGGACGCGGATCATCGATCTCCCGGGGCAGGGGCTAATGCAAGTAATACTAGCAGAGGAATCGAAGTGGACAGTTAGCGGGGACCTCCAGACCTACATAGGTGAGGATAAGCAGAGGCCTCTAGGCCTAGGGACGCCTCTTGTTCGGCACGCACTAGTGGAGGACAGTTGGGGCAAATGGTTCTTTGTGTGGACACAACACCATGCTATTTACGACGGGTGGTTATTGTCGTTGGTACTAGAGCAGGTTGAGAGATTATACTGGGAAGACAACACAGACACCCTGACTCCCTTCCAGGGGCTTATCAAATATGTACTAGGGCGCAGCGAGGACACGGATCAGTATTGGCAGGAGCAGCTAGAAGGCTCAGAGGCAGTGCCATTTCCCAGTCTCCCATCGCCAGGATACGAGCCACGCGTCGACGATATGCTGCAATACCAGATTTCCGGGCTACAATGGCCGCAGAACGACATTACGGCCTCAACAGCGGTACGGACATCCTGGGCTATTCTAGCCGCGCGCTACACGCAGTCACCCGATGTGATCTTCGGAGCCACAGTGACGGGACGGCAGGCGCCAGTCCCCGGGGTTGAGCGGATGGCTGGGCCGACGATCGCTACCGTGCCAGTGCGAGTGGGTATTGACTGGGAGTCGGACATGGATATTCTTCTACAGCAGGTACAGACACAGGCAATCCAGATGACCCCGTACGAACAGACGGGATTGCAGCGGATCCGGCAGATCAGTGTGGAGACAGAGCAGGCAGTTCGGTTCCAGACGCTACTTATTATCCAGCCCGCAGCCCGGGACAATCCGTCAGAGGGAGGGGTTGAATTATTCAAGACAACTTCAGATGGAGCTAACAATAATATAAGTAAACTAAATGCTTTTAGCACATATGCCTTCTCTCTGGATTGCCAGCTCGAGGAACACGGAGTGCAGCTGCGGGTGAGCTTTGATACACAGGTGATTAAAAAGGAACAAGTGCAGCGGATATTACAGCAGCTGGAGCACGTACTACGGCAGGTGTGCGCGGACCGTGAAGTCCCGTTGCAAATCAAGGACGTTGAGACAACCAGTGAGCAGGACCGCCGCGACATCTGGACGTGGAATGCCACCGTACCGCCGGCGGTGGAGAGGTGCGTACATGACCTGATCATGGAACGGACCCGCCAGCAGCCAGACGCACCGGCCGTCTGCGCGTGGGACGGAGAGTTGACCTACAAGGAGCTGGACGAACTCTCAACACGGCTGGCTCACCACCTGGTCCGGCTGAGAGTCGGCCCGGAGACAATCGTACCGCTGTGCTTTGAGAAATCAATGTGGACGCCGGTGGCGATGCTAGGAGTGATGAAGGCGGGCGCAGCGTCGGTCGCGATAGACGCAAGCCAGCCAGAAGAGCGCCTGCAATTAATTATCAGGCAGGTACAACCTACCGTCATCCTTTCATCGGCCACAAACCAAGACTTGGCGGGCCGGCTTAATATCAGAACCGTGGTCACCGTTGAAGCATCCAATCTCGCACAGCTGCACTGGCCGCCTAACAGTTACCTCCCAGCGGTCGAGCCATCCAGCAAACTGTATGTGGTATTCACGTCCGGCAGCACGGGAGCCCCAAAGGGAGCCATTGTCACTCATTCAAACTTTAGTAGTGCTATCAAATACCAGCAAGATGCGACGGGCTTCAGTGCAAATGCGCGGGTGTTTGATTTCGCTTCGTACTCCTTTGATGCTGCGTGGTCTAACTTTTTACACTCGGCATCGTCTGGCGCATGCTTATGCATTCCGTCAGAGTCAGCGAGGAAAGACGATATAGCTGCTTCCATGGAGAGAATGCAGGTTAACTACGCTGTTCTAACACCATCCATTGCTCGGCTTATCGACCCTGCAACAACACCTAGCCTGCGAACACTCATTCTGGTGGGGAGCAAATTACACAGAATGATATTGCCACTTGGACATCGAAGGTGAATCTAAAAAATATTTATGGCCCGGCTGAATGTACTCCTGCGGCCACTGCTATATGTGTCTGTGAAAGACCCTGGGACATTGGGAATATCGGGCGCGGTATAGGGTTAACCACTTGGGTCCTTGGGTTGTCTAATGGCGGTCGCATCGCACCAGTTGGGGCAGTGGGTGAACTTTGGCTCGAAGGACCACTAGTGGGACAAGGATATCTGGGAGACCTGGAAAAGACAGCCACGAGCTTTGTGGAGGACCCCCGTGGTTGCTGAAAGGAGGACCGGGCCACCCGGGAAGGCGAGGCCGGCTGTACCGGACAGGAGACTTGGTGCGATACGATCCAGACGGTACGCTAGTCTTCGTCGGGCGCAAGGACGCGCAGGTCAAGATCCGTGGCCAGCGGGTGGAACTTGGTGAGGTAGAGCACTACGTGCGGCAGAACCTAGCAGAAGGCGCCAACCCGCCAGTGGTGGCCGAGACGATTACTCCGCGAGACAGCAACACTCCAATGCTGGTGGTGTATCTAGCCATCGGGAAGGAGGCAAGCGGAAGCGGCAACAGTGTTAGGGCGGCCGTCCAGAAAGCCACACAAGGGCTCGAGGAACGATTGGCCGAGCAGCTGCCGGTCTATATGGTACCCACCGCGTACATCCCCGTGGAGCAGATCCCGATGACGACGACGGGCAAGACGGACCGCCGGCGACTTCGTGAGATAGGTGCGGCACTGACGCTGGAGCAGCTGGCAGAGCTGCAGCCTTCGCGGGCGAGCGGCGGGCGCCGGCGACCGAAATGGAGCGACAACTGCAGGGGCTGTGGTCGTCAGTCCTCGGGGTAGACACCGGCAGCATAGGAGCGGACGACAGCTTTCTACGGATCGGCGGCGACTCGATCGGGGCGATGCGGCTGGTCGGGGCGGCGCGCGAGCAGGGGCTATCATTCACGGTGGCGGACGTGTTTGGCACGCCGCGGTTGAGCGAGCTGGCACACATCGTTACTGAAACGAGTGCCTTTTATCAGGACCCTCCAGTGTTTTCGCTTATTGATACTCGGAATTCCTTGCTTTCATGCCTTGATACTCCGAATTTCGACGTTGTTGATGTGTACCCTGTTACTGGCTTTCAGAGTCGCTGCGTCACCGCCGCGTTGACAAGGCCCCTAGGGAGATGCTATCACTTTTACATAGACCTCCCCTCTGGCGTCAGCTTTCCTCGCCTCGTTGACAGTTGCGAAAAGCTGTGGGAGCATCTCGATATTCTTCGTACTGTATTCGTTGATTTCGAGGACCACCGAATGCAAATTGTCATGAAGAATATTAAGCCTATTATCGATATCTACGAAGCTGAAAGGGACCTTGCCGAATCTTCTCAAGATATCTACCGCTCTGACTTGCAAAGTCCTCTCGAACTGGGACGGACATTCACCCGCTTCCTCCTCACACTTACTCGAGACGGGCGAGCACGGTTGACGATAAGGCTTTCTCACGCTCAGTATGACGGCTTCAGCTTACCAACCATTTTCTCCTGTTTCGCAGCATTCTATGATGCACGGGAGCCACCTGTTGTCCCCAAATTTGCTGGTTACATCAGACACGCCTTGCAAAATAGGGAAGCTGGGTCGCACTACTGGCGTTCCCTTTTGCAGGGTTCTCAGATCACCAAAATAAGGTCTTGTGCGGAAAAGAACGGAACTTACCTCTCAAATGATCTGTCAGGCCAAACAATTCGTTTTAAGAAAATCGTCCCCGCGCCAAAGACTTCCAATGATTTCACCCCAGCCACAATCTTCATTGCCCTATGCGCATGTACACTTGCGAAAATGACAGAGTCATCAGACGTGGTATTTGGATTGGTTGTGTCAGGACGGTCATCACTTCCTCCTGGACTGCACGGCGTCATCGGACCTTGCTTGAATGTTGTACCCATCAGAGTCCATGTACCAGCTACCGAAAGTTTCGCATGTGCAATTTCTTGTGTCCATGAGCAACGTGTTCAGGGACTAGCGTTTGAAACTAGCCAGTTCAGCGACATTGCAGCGAACTCCACAGATTGGCCCAAGGGTATCAAAGACTTTGGCCTAGTTGCTCAGTTTCAGGACATTGATGAAAATCCGGCAACAGAAATCTCGGGCATGAGCACTAAACTATATGCTCATCAGGGGCAGGAGGATTTAGTTGACACAGACTCCGTTGGCATCTTGGCAAAGCCAGTGGGAGACTCTTGGGAGGTGGAGATAGCAGCGAGTCGGAAATCCTATGCACCGCTCGCAGTTGAAAGTGTGCTAGTGGAGCTTTCGGCTCTTCTGACGAGCATCAGGTAAATAAACGTCCATCATCAGAGGAACCCAGGCAGCCGGGTCTGGGAACTATCCATGGTGTCCACTAACCAAAACTACTTGAAAGACATATCGACACGATATATGTTCGACAACAGCCGCAGGCAGCTTGTATGTTCCTTCTTTTTCTAATTCCCTTTTCTCCTGCTGTCCTCGTGTATGTAGCACCAATAAATAACATTTCACATTCTTTGAGAACTTGGTAATAGTGGTAAAGTAAGATTACGTGCGCCGCATAGAACTATAAGCCATGAGAAGCTAGGCCGGCGAATGAGAAAGGTTGAATGATCTGATGACATACCTAGTGTAAAACAGGTGTATAGATCATAATTCCGGGCATTGTACCCTCAGCATTTCATTTGATTGTGAACATGTTCATTGCGAGCAATCGACCAGAAACACGATCCTCGTTCCAGAGCTCTTCTCTAACCCGTCGGTCATGCTAAGCCCGCGCTTTTCCGCTGGGAAGACCGATGACATGGCCAGCATCTTGCCGATTGGGATATAGTTTGTATATGATATAATGAGTATGGAATAACTGAACAAAGGCTGAAAACGGACAGGGCTTAAACCCGAAATCCTTTTCTATTCTGGCTAAATAAATACAAACATTCCTATAAATATAGTAATATCCTTGTTGGGAATTCTACCACAGCACAGACCTCAATGAACTTGGCCATATCGCTTTACGAGAGCTTGATAATTGTGGCCAATATGTGTCATTTGCTTCATGATGTGAATGCTTCTAACTAGAAAACCTGTAGAAGGTCCTGCGCATATGGCACACCGCATTCCCTCGAGTGGCCGCGCTCGATGGAAAGGGGGAATAGGTGGGGACGAGAAGCGGGCCATCCATCGCATGGTCGGGTATCTGGCGCACGAACACCGTCAGCATGAGTAACAGAGCAAAAGTGGGCAAGCGGTCCAGCATGCTCGTCTTTGGGCTTATGTTTATCCCCGAGCAAAGCCTCTATGTAGCGACGCATTGCCGAGAGACTCAATGGCCTTGAAATGGAAGTGGTCGGCGGATCGGACAAAAGTCCAGTAAGAGTGATCCCGAGTCAGAGATGCGGTGTGATCCTATTGAATGAAGGAAAATTCGTATTGCCTAGTAAATTTGTATAGAGAATCTAACTGCAGCGAAGGTCTTGATCTTCCCAAATTGATGATCCTACATGATGTCTATATACCATTCAATGAGGCCAGGTGTCCTCATAGAGATCGACAATTTTGAAGCCATAGAGTTGATCTAGGCGGTAAGCGGTATGGTGTTGGAACTTAGCGGTGAAATCGCGTCATTTCCGCGGACAGATTCCTTCTCGTCACATGACTCTCAAGGCTTAGCCATCTTCTCTAGGCCTCGCTTGCTATAACCATGGTGTATACGGCTCGCGCGACCTGATTTAACACCCGCGCGAGTGTAACCCCACTTTTATGTAGAAACACTCACGCGAGGTTTAGCTTATTAAGCAGTTTAGACTCACGCGAGGTCTTAAATATCCGCTGTATTCTAATTTCATTTAAATTTCTTACTTATTCTTATTTGTTTTGAATGTAAATCTGACCATTCTCTTTCAACCGAACCATGAGCGAGACGTCCGCATTACACTCCTGGCAGAATTCAAACGCCTTCCGAAACAAGGTATCTCCTCGTCGTTTGTGTTGTTGATGTTTTACCTTGGGCTTATTGGACTGGCGATGACGGATTTTTCTAGTCTTTGCCATCCTTAGGGGTTTTCAGCGACAGTAACAGATAACAGGATAGAATGAGAGCGATGACTTCGGGCCCAGAACCTCGACGGTTCAGGCATTTATATATTCCTATGCTCACCTTCCCCGCGCGATCGAAGCCCTTTATACATTCCTATGCTCACCTTGCCCGCGCGATCGAAGTCCAAGAAAGCAGACGCTAGATTAGACTGCGGCAAAACCATGGACAACCGCGGATAACCAAAACCGCAACCGCAAATTTGCGGTTTTGGGGCTGATTTAAAAACCGCAAACCGCACTGTGGGCGGTTGTGGTTTTCACTTTGGAAAACCGCGGTTTTTGCGGTTATCCATGGATATGTAAACATTACAAACATGCTGAAACTCATGACTTTCCAGTGAATGCATAAATTGTGCACTTTTCGCAGTATTTTTGGAGTATCTAGTATGTAATAGATTACCTATATCTCTTAATTTAAAACCTTTAGAATACACTTTTAGACCAATTTCGATTTCTATTCTAAGTCTCTAATATTACAGCTTATCAATCTCAAATCCCTCAGGTAGCTTAGGCCTCTTCCGAACCCTCCCTGACCGCGCCTGCGTCTTCTCAATTGGCATATCAGGAAGTGGGAGACCATTATCAGCATCATCTATAGCCTCAGAGGTGTTACTTCGGCACCGCTTCCGTTGTACCTGCTTAGTTTGAGCTACAGGCTGCGTGGTAGATAACCCTTCTTCTGCCTCGTTATCAGATTTGTCTGTATTATCCTCAGATAAATCCTCTGCTTCGCAACCCTCTTCCTCATTATCACTAATTGGTTCGAGTTCATTAAGCAATGGAACAGGCTGTCTTGTCTGATCAAGCATAGCAGCCTCTCCGACAGAGAGATACTCTTTAATCATCTCTAGCTCGCTTTGTTCAAGATCAAACTTAGATGAGAAGAGATGGAGCATTAGATCTTTAATTGTGCCTGGCTTTAACTGTCCCCGACGATAGTGACAGACATTACGAGCACAATTAAAAGCCGCTCAACACCAGCGCCACTCGCAGGAACTGAGAGGATATCTCGTGCAATCTTTGCAAGGACTGGATACTCGTGCTCATGCTCCTTCCAGAAAAGCCGAGGATTACCTTTTGTAAGCCCTATAAAATTAATTAACTTCAGAATAGTATAGAAATAGAGAATATTTACCTTTTACCAAATATCGTGTTATTTCATCCTCCGGTTGATCCACTTCAGCTTGTAGAGCTGTCTGTGATTCATATAATAGCTCAAGCTTATTTTCAGCAGGATCAAAGATTGCTTGGTTATCAACCGGTTCGGTTTCCTGGATAACCTGCTGCTGATATCGCTTAAACTCCTTCTGTAAAACCTCCCGGTAATGCTTCATGAAATCGACTTCCTCTCCTTTCTTATTTTTTTCCTCTCCATCCGCATTATCAAAGTATCGAAGCTTCTTTGATGGACAGAGAATTGTTGCAATTGCATAGACTGTGCTATATAACTTATTGTCTGTTTTAGTGTAGTATTTTAAGAGCTTTTTTTTTTTTGCTGACTAAAATGCCTGAAGTATTCTCCTTTTCCATAGGACAGCTTTACATTTCAGTTTTTCTCAATGTCATCAAGATAATTAAATAGCCGATTGTAGATACTGAAGACATGGTGAACTATAACATCTCTGGTCTTTGATAATACACTAGTAAAATCAAAGAAAGGCTTAGTAATTAGAAGCAAATATTCAACTTGGCGCCATTCCTCTTCATCTAGCTTAAATTAAATATGTTAATATGTTATACAATACCGATCAAAGACTGATTGTAATTTCCTGGCACGATTAAGCATTAGAAAGGTAGAATTCCAGCGTGTGCGAACATCTTGGATCGGAACAAGCTTAGGCTCAGTAGTTTAAAGGGTAAGAAAAGCTTCCCTGCGCTGTGGACTAGCATTGATAAAGACAGCGAGCTCTCGAATCTAAGGATATTAGTATAAGTATAAAAAGAGCGCGAAGATATTCTTACCTTTTTAAGGTTCCCATAATATTCCTTGTAGGCTGCCGAGAGCTAGTTTGTAGTGACTGTGTACGCGTATCAGACCACTCAGTCTTTGCTTTTCCTTATTTGTTGGATTTGCTTTTATCTTTCCAAGTAGATCCTTTAGGCTAAGCTGGATAACATGCGCAATACATGGAATTCGGAAGACAGAAGTCCCACTTAGAGCTTGCGATTAAATTATCTCTTGGACACCTACCATCATGGTGTTGTTATTTGACGTATTATCTGTGGTAATTGATAATACACGATTATCAATATTATGTTCCATGAGTATTCGAATCACAGTCTGACTTAAGTGAGCACCGGTATGCGATCCTTGGAGATGCTTAAAACCAAGAAGGACCTCGCAGTAATTCCATTCTTGATCAAGAAAATATCCAGTAATTGCCATAAATGCCTGGGAAAAGGGAGATGTCCAGCAGTCAAGTGCAACTGAGAGATAGCTTCCTTTTGGAAGTTTGCTAAGCATATTTTGTTGCCTTTCCTGGACAGTGTTGTCTAAAAGTCGTCGGATAGTCCGCGCAGAAGGAATATCAAGCCTTGATTCAGAGAGTTGGGCAGCTTCGAGAAGGTCTTTAAACTCTGGGTGTTCAACAATACGAAATGGGAGACGGGCGGTGGTAATAAAGTTAAGAATTCTTCGCTGGAAAAGATTATTGGTAAAGACCTTTGTTAGTGCACGCGGCTAGATAATACTAATATTAGTAGTCTCTCTCTATATCTTTAAAACAATATTTAAAACGTACTGATTCACGTATTAACTGGTCAATCCCTTGCCTCTTTTTTTTCTAAGCGACATGTACCACCGTTCAGATGTGCTTTAAGTGCAGAGGTTCCCGTACGCTTATAACCTGGATGAGTAAGGGTTGCAAAACACCGCTTACACATAACCTTGGGCTCGCCAGTCTTCTCGTGTGCAACCTGTTTAAAATGCTCCCAAAGCACTGATGTTTTTTTCCCATCCCAATGTAAGCTATCTCGGCATTAAGAGTTCAATCCAAATGTAGTTGTTAACCACTATTCCACGAATTGTTTCCGGGAGTCATCCATCTCAGGTTTAGTAGCATAGAGAATCCAGAACTTTCGAAGTGTAGATCCGACACGTTCAAGTGACTTCGGCGCATAAGAAAATCGCGGAGGGGGGGTAAAAGGAATAGAAGTCACAGTTGGTTGACTGCTTGGTAAATCAGGAAGGTCATCTGATTGAAGAAGATCGGGATTGATAAAGGAATCAGAATAAAAGGATACTTGGGACTGAGACATTGTCGTAAGTTCCTAAAGATTAGAAACTAGAAATAATAAAGAGACATCAGGAGAAGAGAAAGGAGAGGGACTTACAGGAATTCCCCTATTATTTAGGAGATAAACAGGTCGCAACCGCGAGTTCGACCTGTACAAAACTATACTCTATGTTAATTGGGTGACTAGCGATGGTAGTGCGGTTTTAATGCGGTTTTAACGCGGTTATCTTGCGGTTATCATGGATAACCACAAGATAACCGCAATGGAAAAAAATCACCAAATTCAAGCAATTTGAAATAGAAACCTGGTTTCTCCTGAATTTTTAAGTAAATATACTAAATTTAAAGTAAAATATAAATATAATAGGCTCTTCTCTATTCTTCAGTAATAATTTTAATCTATAATAGCCTGATTTAGTCAACCTACGAAATCTTATAAAGTTCATTCAGAGAGTGTACTAACTTCTATTTGTATAAAATATATATTTTTACAACAACATCCTAATTCCTTAGTAATCTTAAAATCTCAGACAACACCACTTACTAGCTACGCAAAATAAGAGGCGATATATCAATATTCGGCTCGTTATTTAAGAAAAAAGGATCAAAGTAAGCAATAGGGTGGATATTTATATATACTACAATGCTTTATCACCCTCCCACAACCAAATATAGAAGATAAAATAAGCAAGAAACTACACAAACCGATATTGCAAACTAATGCTACAATGACTCATGCATTGCAAGGAAGCAATATTACTATCTGACTTTGGTGAATGGTGATGCTAGGATCGGGCCAGGACCTCACGGTGATGATATAATGCCCAAGACCATCTTGGTTACTTATAATATACTAATGGTCTAGTGGTAACGCATTAGATCTAGTAATCTAGAGGTACTGGGTTCGATTCCTAGTAGGTGCTTGAATCGATGTTAGACCATCTGTACTGCAGCTGGCTAATATCGACTCGTCCAGTGCCTAATCCTATGGAGGACCTCTGGATATTTTTATTATTTTACATGCTTTTTATTTAACTTTTAGAGTAAGCAAACATGCTTTAACAGGGACGAAATGCCTTGCTATTTAATAACTAGATATACACAAAGAGGAATTGTTAAGATAATAAAAGTAAAGGGAAAGAAGCATGCGTTCTTATACTACAAGAGGTGACGAGGTTATATAACTGCAATAAGCGGACCAATCACGTGCGCCAATTGCAGCGAAGGCGAATAGGAATAATATACAGGCGTGGCCTGCAACACATTCCTTGTCTTCAAGTTTTCGTAACAGCTTATTATCGTACACTCCTGGGAGCATATTGCCTGGGTACACGTATATAAAACGTTAGAGGAGCTACAACCAATAGGGGCAATAGGGACAGTTGGGACAATAAGGACAATTGGCCTGAGAGGTTAACCGGGCTCACTGTATTAACCAGAACAGGTGTATTTTCAAATTAAAAACAAGAGTATGTAAGCCGCATAAGTGTCACCTGATATGCTAGAATTGGTTAAAGAAGCGAGAGTTATGCTAGTGCGGTTTTCTTGCGGTTATCCATGGGTAACCGTGGTTAAACCACAAATCTGCGGTTGTGGTTGCGGTTTTCAAAGTGATATCCAAAACCGCAAATAGACTTCATCAGAGCCCACGAAAGCCCAAGCCCAACCCAACCCAACCCACTTGTGGGCTGGGCTTTGGGCCAGGTTCTAGGGCCCATGATAGGCTATAGGCTGAGCCGAGGGGCCCACGGCCCACAGATGGGGCCCAAATGGGCCCCCAAACTAGGCTAAACAGTGCAAACATGCCCCGATCTTATGACTGCATAACTTGTGCTTCTTTTTAGCTGTAATATTGAGTATTTCTCTTACATTATTTCTCTTAAAAATTGCTCTTTGTAATGTCTACTCCGCCTGGTTATATTTTACATTCTTACTCCTGAAGCGTTCAGCATCGTGCAGAGTTTGGTTACAAGATATTATTCAAAAGGCAGTAATTAATAATTAATGATATCAAACTCATTATCCTCCCTACTTTTCCGCTTTCTTCCTGAAACCCGTGTTTGCTGATATTCTCTGGCAATTCAGGCTCTGTATAATCCTGTATCACTGCTACTGCCTCATATCTTCTTGTTCCTCAGTATCACTAATCGACTCTATCTCAATCTCCTCTAATTTCTCGTCTCTCTCTTCCTTTGCAGCCTCTATCTCATAGATAGAAAAGAATTCCTTGAGAAATTTTGCCTCTTGTTCTTCAAGATCAAATCTTGATGTACAAAGAAACATCATAATCCCTAATTTCTCAGACTTCATCCGACCGCGGCGGTAATGACAGATATCTCGAGCAGTATTAAAAAGTCGTTCAACACCAGCCCTGTTGCTGGAATAGAGAGAATATCCCGTGCAAGGGCTGCAATAGCTGGAAATCGATATTCATTGTCTCTCCAGAATTGAAGGGGCTCCACATCGATAGTATCTTTTAGGAAGTTAGGATTAGACTAAACAATAAGGTGTTTAACATACGCTGTAAGATATTAGTTATTTCATCCCTACTGGCTTTGCCTGTGGTTTGTGCCCATTCAACATCTTATTAAGCCTTGAGCTTGGTCTTGCTGCGGTAGGGGTGGTTGCAGAGCCTTGAAAGTAGAGAGACGTTCTTGATAAGGAACCAGGGCTTCTTGGAAGGATTTCCGGTAGAGGTCGCGCCATTGTTTATCCCAGTCATCAGATAGGAAGAATTGGAACTTATTATCGGGGCAAGCATTGTACTAATTGCATAGATATGTGGTTTAACCCTATCTGTCTGCGAGTAGTACTCATCAAGTTTTAATCGACCAGCTTCAAGAGAATTAAGCATCTGCTTTTTCCATGGAACACACTTCCGCCGAAGCTGCTTCATTGATTTTTCTAGATGCTCGAAGAGTGCATTGTAAATCTTGAAAACAAGATGTATTGTTACCTCTCGAGTCTTTAATAGCTCGGTTGTATAGAGAAAGAACGGCTCAGTAATATAAAGAAGATAGTCAATTTGGCGCCACTCCTTATTATTTAGCAACATCTCTTCACAATCATAGTCGGCACAAAATCGTGTAAAGATATCACGGAGTCGTTTCGCGCGACGAAGCATAAGAAAGGTTGAATTCCATCGAGTTCTCACATCTTGGATTGGTGTAAGCTTTGGATCATCTGTTTGAAGATTGTTGAATGCCTCTCGACGTGAAGGGCTTCCGTGGATATAAATTGCAAGAGAGCGGACCTTGTTTAAGGTATAAGAAATCTCATGCTTCTGGTGTTGTGTATTTGCCTTGGCTAAAGTTGACAGCCGGTTAGTCCACTTTGTTTCCTCGGTATTATTTAGTGGAACTGCCTTGAGACGGTCAAGAAGCTGGTTCAGGCTAAGTTGGATAACATGAGCAAGACAGGGAGTTCGGATAATATTAACATTATTAGATAAAGCCTGCTGGAGGGAATCAGCCAATGTCTTATTATTCGATGCATTATCACTGGTTAATCCAAAGACTTGGTCTTGAATCTGATGGCTGTTTAGTGTTTCTAGAACAACACCACTCATGTTCGAACCAGTATGCGCTCCGTGAAGAGGTTTAAAGCCAAGAAGTACTTCCCGATATACCCAATCAGCATCAATAAAGTAGCCAGTTATAGCTAGAAATGCCTGGGAAAACGGAGATGTCCAACTGTCAAGCGCAATTGATATCTTCGAACCTGAAGGAAGCATCCTAAGAACACTTTGTTGCCGATCTTTGACAAGCACTTCTAGCCGACGACGTATCGTCATTGCAGATGGGATTTGTGGAGCAGTTGGTGCATTATGGGCCATCTGAATTAAGCTTATAAATGTTGGATGCTCGATTAGGTAAAAAGGAAGCCGATTGATTGAGAGAAATGATAAGATCTTCTCCTCCCAGGCTGGTTGTGAGAAAGGAACATCAGTCGGAGCAGATTTCTAGTAAAATAATTATTAATTAGTCAATAAAGCATAGTAATAGAACATTAGATATACTGTTTTTGGAGGAATTTAGTGATTTCATCCTTCTGTCTGTTCTCAAACCGTTGGCACGCAGCAGTCTTTAGGTGCCTTGTCATTGTTGATAAACCATGACGCCCTTCCTTCCCTTTAGCATCCTTTTTTGTAGAGTAAGGATGTTCAAGGATCTGGCTGCAGCGTTTACACATGACCTTTGGTGCGCCGTCTATACTAGATGCGACCTGATCATAGTGCTTCCAAATATCTGAAAGGTGGTTTGAGTCCCAATGTATCTTACTTTGGGACCCATAATCAGTATGTAACCACCAGTCTACCTATTCACTATGAGTCATTTCGTTATAAAGCACATATGCCTTTCTTCTATCGGGCCCGACACGTTCAAGAGAGGATGGAATTGTAAGAGGAATAGCTGGTCGAATAAATAAAGGGACCGAAGTGTCAAGGGCATCAAATGTATGCTGGCTGCCAGATGGAGTGGTGGGTGATTTAAGAAGTTAGAAATTTAGATTATCTATCTCTGCATCATAAAGAGATGATGCAAAGTCAGATTGCTGGCTTTGGGATATAATGAAGTAAGTATACAACACATGGATAAAAATAAGAGAAGGGTAAAAAAGGAGATGGATACATTACTAGGAGAAGGATTTCTGATTTACTTAGCTATGGACTGTGAGTCAAACAAACAAGTCTACATATCAAAAGAAAATATTCAGCTAGTTGCTAATTGGATAGATATCACAAGTGAAGTGTGTTTGGCCCAACGAGGCCCAACAAAGCCCATAGGGCCCATGAATAGCCCAACAAAGCCCAGAAAAGCCCACAAAGCCCACGAATAGCCCATAAAGCCCACGAATAGCCCATGAGAGCCCATTAATAGCCCATTCCCAGCCCATTAATAGCCCATTCCCAGCCCAACTCGACCTTAGATACCCTCAAAAAATTTTCACCTGGTCAGATACAGAGACAGAATACTGGTAGAAAGAGCTGAATTCCTTTAAATTCACTTCTTTATACTATCGTTTAGGATTAGAATTCCAAAGTAGAGAAGATAAGCTTTTATTTCATGTAAAGAATGAATAAATCAGAGCAGGCAGAAGTGGTTAATTTTTTACTTCTGTCTCTTATTAAAAAGATGCGCACACTCTCGTATATATAAAATATATATCTAAACAAGTTTGCAGTGAATTTATCCATAAGCCATCAAAACACCACCATAACAATCAGAATATGGGATTTTTATGAGTAATTAACTTAAAACAAGCCTTACTTTCTTTAATTCCAAGAAGATTTCCTAGAATTTCTTACTATTTTAGGCGAGGTTACAACGAAGCTCAGTTGATGAACTGGAACAGGTGTAAAAAACAGTATTTTATTTTGATTATTTAGCAGCTTTATGAATGCCAAGACCAAAATTTTATGCAAAAATGGGCTTTTGCGGGGGCCCATTGGGGGGGCCATCGTGGGCCTGATGGTTGGGCTTGGGCCTGAAATCCGGGCCATCAGCCCACAGTGGGTTGGGCCGTGGGCCCGAGATTCAGGCCCATTTGTGGGCTCTGATGAAGTCTAGGGGATATCTCTGCCCAGGGCAGATGAGACAACTACAGTATATCGGGCTTGTGTGGCTCCCATTATGGACTACGCATCGACAATCTGGCATAACCCACTAAAGGACAAGACTTATCATTGGGCTCTCAGCACTGTGCAAAGAACCACACTGATCTAAGTCGTGCCCGCATTTAGGACGGTTGCAACACAAACGTTGGAAGTGGAAACACACCTTGCCAACACATTTAAGGCTCCAACAACGGTCGTAGAATACAGTCGCTAGTTTGTATATACAGAGTAAACAATTAATACACAAATGTCTTGAGAGGGCTAGAAAACGGATTTCGTTTCCCACTGGCTCAGACAATGAGACCAGGAACCTCAAACGGCTTGAGGCTGTAGAAAAGCCGCTGACACCGGGGATCCCTTATGGGAATATTCTACGCCATAAGCCTAGCTCTCAGTATAACGCACAAAATGGTGGGACCGTCAAAACAAGTTAGAAGCCAGCAACAATTCTCTGTGATAACATGCCAGCACTGCAGGAAATAAGGAACCCGTCTAACAAGTCAGGTCAGCGGATCGTCTAGGCCATCCTAAGGGCTACAAGAGAATCAAAAGCACGAGAACTTCCCCTTTGCAATCAATGAAACCCGGGGCATTGCGACGATCTGGGGAATGACGAGAGCGGACCTCCTAGCCAAAGAAGGCGTGCACCCGAAAGGCACGCACCCATTACGACGCTTGGTCTCGCGAGAAAGAGGATTTATTTGAGAACAATTCTAAAGAAGTGGGCACGTGAATGGAACCCATCCAAGAAAGGTGGACATCTCCGTCGAATCAATATCGTGCTACCCTATATCCATGTCCAACGACTATATGACTCGGTAGCTTGTAACTGAGCCTACTTACTAGCACAACTATGGACAGGCCATTCATGGCTCGCTCCCCACGGCAAACTCCATCGTTTTCGTGAGATGACAAATGCGAATGCTGGGCGAAAGAGACAGTTGAGCACGTTCTCGTGGGCTACCCCAAATTGAGGGCCCTGACAGAAGCTACGGAAAGATGCTGGCGGAGGATATGATGACATCTTATTTTTCTGGGAGCAAAGGGCCAGCGAGGAAAAGAAGACAAACAGAACAGCTTAGGCCAAAGCGGTACTCTAGGTGCAGTGCTGGAGTTCGCGGAAACATCTGGTAGGTTTCGCACCCGCGTGCCCAGGGGCCCGCCATGACGGGAAACAAAGGCAAATAGGCCACTACAGGCCCTGATGACGCTCTAAATTCGTCCGCACCAAGTGGTAGGAGCACAAATAGCATGATTCTTTGTCCATCCATTCTTCCACAAGACATTCCTGTTCATCGTTTGCGGATATGGATTTCGACCCTGTTATGGCCTACGAAACAAAGATAGAAATGAAACCAAATCAACTCTATTCTGTGCTTGCAACAGAATACTAAGCATGAGGACGGAAGAAAGAGAATAAAGATAGCCAGTCACATAGATGTCTACACATTCTATCATGTCTGACCGCTATCCCTGCAGCCAAAAGTAATAAACCAAACAGGGAGCCCAAACGGACCTCGCTTCAAACTTAATAAACCAAACAGTAATTGCAAACGGATTTCGCTCCGATCCTAGCATAGCGCCTCTAATACACAGTTGATCTGATTGGGTCGTTCAGACATGACCGCTGTCCATCGCGATTATAAAGAGTCTGGTCCCTTTTTATCTTCCCCGTCTGTCTTTTTCTTATTAAGACCTTTTTCAACATACGAGCAAGGGTTACGCCTTCATGGATACACCGCCAAAAAAGGATTCGATGCCGCTGGAAAGTGGCCAGGCCCTAAGCGGACTTGGCCTTCGATCATCTAGGATATCTGAACGTCTCAACCAGGTGGACTGTGTCCGCGCCAATGGGGTTGGAGACCATATCCCACTGCCGCAGCTTGTTGTCTGTGGTGATCAGTCGGCAGGGAAGAGCTCTGTCTTGGAGGGGATCAGTGGCATTCCATTTCCTCGTCAGGATGGCCTTTGCACAAGGTTTGCTACCGAAATCATCCTTCGACATGAGCCGAGAGAGCAGCAAACCACAGCCACCATCATACCAAACATGTCGCGCGCGGAAGACGAAAAGACTAGGTTAAGTGCCTTTCGCCGCGACATAAGCGACCTTGCAGACTTGCCTGGCATCATTGACCAGGCTGCAAGCCTTATGGGTGTGAAAGACTCGCCAGCCTTTGCGGCTGACGTGCTCCGCTTAGAGGTTGCCGGCGATACTGGCTTGCATCTGACCCTTGTTGACCTCCCTGGTTTGATCTCCGTCTCTGAAAATGAGGAAGACGTGCAGCTCGTGGGCGATCTGGTCAATTCTTATTTGGAGAATTCACGGACCATTATTCTGGCGTGGTCCCCGCAAGCAGTGATGTGGACACGCAGAGTATCATCCAGCGTGCTCGTCGCTTCGACAAGGATGGCCTCCGGACTGTTGGAATTATTACGAAACCTGACCTCATTAATGATGGCACTGAATCGCGTGTTGCGAAGCTGGCCAATAATGCCGATAGGACAAAGTTAAAGCTTGGCTTTTTCCTTCTCAAGAACCCCAAGCCCTCCGAATTGCAGAAGGGCATGACCATGGCGGAACGTCGGAAAGCGGAGCAGCAATTTTTTGCGAATGAACCTTGGAAGAAGCTTGGACTCGATCCTTCACGTATCGGAATAGACAATCTGCGGGCATTCATGCAGGACCTCCTCGACCGTCACATCGAGCGCGAATTGCCCAAAGTTCGAAAGGATGTCGCTCAACTGCTAAATAAGATTAACAAGGAATTGATGGATCTTGGGGCGGAACGGACCTCGCCTGCCCAAATACGCATGTACCTCACACGCATCAGCACAGACTTTCAGAACCTAGTGAGGGCAGGAGTTAAGGAGTATACGGTAGCCGAGACGCATTCTTTCATGAAATCACCAACGAAAATGAATTTCACCGTCTCCGCGCTGTTATTCACATTGAAAATGGAAAATTTTCTAACTATATGAGGGAGCATGGGCAAAAGCGTAGAGTGGTTTCGGCCGAAGACCAGGAAGATGTTGAGCCGGAAAGTGGTCAGATCTTAGTGACCGAGGAGGAAATGTCGATGTGGATCAAGAAGGTGCAGTGACTGTCAATTTCGAAAGAATGCAACTAACTGCTGCAGATATACTACCGTACTCGAGGCCGAGAACTTCCTGGCAATTATAGCCCGGTCTTATTAGCTGAATTATTTCACGCGCAATCAGCACGTTGGAGTGACATTGCTCGTGACCATGTTAATGTCATTGCGGATTTGGTTTCCCGCTTTGTACAATCTGTTTTGGTCTCTGTTATAAACGATACCGATGTCTGGGAAACCATCTCTCGATCTATTAGCGCCACACTGGATGAGAATGTCAAGGGAGCATTCAATGAACTTGACAAGCTGCTGGAGGACGAGGCTGATCGCCAATCACATACAACCATTATTATACGGATAATGTTGAGAAGGCGCGGAATGACCGTTCCAAGAAAGACCTTGGCACCTCTCTGGACAACGCTATCAACGAAGATTGGAAAGGTCGATTTCACGTTAGCACTCGTCTTATGAGATCAGTCGGCTTGCGACATCTCTCCAGAATCATCGTGTCATCGTTGATATGGAGGAGCGGGCGTGCTCTGAAGCACAAACTGATCTAGGTGCTTACTATAAGGTTTATCATATATCCCGGATATTTCCATCGCTTTTATTGATTGTATCTTAGGTTGCCATGAAAACCTTTGTCGATAATATCTGCCGCCAAGTTGTTGAGAGGCATATTATTAATAAACTCCCGGATGTATTCAGCCCGGTGACTGTCAGTGGCTATTCAGATGAAGATCTACTCTGCCTGGCTGCGGAGTCACCTCAACTTAGTAAACGGCGTGTTGAGGCAACCAACTAAAAAGGGCATTAGAAGATAGCCTTCGGGAATTGCGTTGATTTTGAATACCTTTGCTGCTCCGGCGGGGTTTCTCCATTGTTGGTTTTCCCTCTCTGTTACGCGAATGCGGGAGCGGTTTCTGTACGTATTAGTTTCTTGTCTTTCCGGTCTTTTCTCATAGGACAATGTAACGGTGGCATTTCGATCTTTTTTGGCGAATCGCCATTCTAGGATTGGCACCCAACTACTTAGACAGTAGAAGCAGTTTACACTAGTAAGGTTCATGGTTCAATGCTTCCGGGTGCACATTCGGGCCCCGGGCGTCCTTCACACCAGTCCTTCTCGAATTTGTATCACTACAGATTAGGCCCAGCTTCTGGACGGCACCCCGTACATTACAGGGTATATCGAGAAGTTTCAGAATCCTCCGCTAAGCGATCTCTTCGGTCTGGATATCGTCACGGAGTGGGGAAGATTGGTAAATCTGTGTCGCGATTACAATAATCAGCATCTAGAGGCCATGTTCACATTGGGTACAATCGCATTCGCAGACAATGCGAACATGAGCCTTTTGCGAAGAATGGCTGCGATCTGCATCTTGAAAGACGCTAAGGACCTGAAACTGCCACTCCATACAGGATATTCTGGGTTCCAATTGAATGACAAACCCACACAAGAATCTCTAGGAACGTTAATGGACCGCTATCCTGAAATATTGAATGATGGTGCAAGCTTCGACAGGGCTTATAATTTTGTGACAGAATCTGAAGATCTTTGCAGGGATGAGTGCCACGCTCTCGCGAAGAAGCTTCTACAGCAGTGGCCGTGTCCAAACCCTTCCAACAGCAACCAAACAGCAACGCACATTGATGTCAATAAGGTCCTCGGCATGGTTCAAGAGGAGTGGCTCCGGCTCTTCAAGAATTTTGAATTTGCACAGACTCTTCTGGACTTCCAAAAGTCCTTAACCAATATCAGGGTAGATCTAATCCGATGATCTCGGAAATACCTTCACCACGTCTCCTGCAGTATTCCGCTCCAATTCGAGACGTGGAGATTCCTACAATATTGACTTGCTTTCAAAGAAAAGGCCCCCTACATATTTCGGCTGAAATATTCTCTATGGTCTACATTGCCAAGACGAGAGCAGTTTGTGAATTCGGCGGCTGATAGCTCTGAGCATGCATCGAATGGCACAGCACGACAAAAACCAGATTCTCCAGAGATTGAAGAGCTTACAAGCATCATCAGAAAACTTGCATCTTCCAAATCTGCTGTACGAAGAGCATACGCGAAGAATATGAAGGATAGTCTGGCTGGGGTAGGATGGCAAATGACATAGAGACTATTCTTAGTTTAGTTAAGCTTGGCCTATCCTTTCCAACGTACTATAAGCTAAAATACAACTCATCTTCTTTATCGGGACGACACGACATGGATCATTCACGCTGGCTTGTTTTCTCCTTCAGAATCCAGGAAGATCCGCGAGGAATGGAAAGCGCGGAAGAGAGAGCGAGGTTCAGCGCAGGGTTTTCGGGAAGCGTGAGCTTTCTTCCTCCCAGTCTGCACATGCCAGTCTGGTTGGCACTTAAGGATTGTCCATGGTTACGGCTTTTTCCGTTTTCCTTCGCCTGCTATACACGGTCTGCCTATTCTGTATATCTGTTTCTACCAATTAAGGAGTTCTAATATATGCACCTCTACAGGAAATATCGGGGAAAACGTGGCAGTGAGAAGCGCCATTGAAGCAGCTTTTAACTGTAGTGTTGCGCTTTAACTTTAAGGCCGTATATCTAATACTGCTACTAGGTACACAGGGGAGTGCTGCACACGGCCAATGCAGGGCTTAAGCTTTCATACACATGGACATATTGTAAAAAAAAAATATAGAAATTGTAACTATTGGTCCGTACAAAGTCAGCCCGAGCGAGAACTGGTTGGCTCAGAATAACAAAGGGTAGAAACACGACCTGGAGGATCACAGGTGCGAGGGGTCAATCAATTCCCATCCCTTTTCGATGTCATTGTCCACAGTCTGGTCAACGTTAGCATCTGTCCGTTTGAGGGTGGTATATGCAAGTGCAATAAGAGGAAGAAAAAAACATAGAATTATCCTCGCGACGCTTACACTTTCGGATTGCTTGGTAACGTTCCTCTTACTAGACTCTAGGAAGAGACCACCACTGAGACCTTCCACTGCCATGTACTCCCTAGCGCGTTGCTCCAACTGTGTGGTGCTTTTTTCCAGAATTTGCATTGTTTGGAAAATGAGTACTTGCATCTCTTGAATTGAAGCGCAGTTGTCTAATAAACGCCCTATGCCATCAACCATTTGAAGGGTAGCACGAGCTGGAACACTGCCGTTTTTTGCTGCTGACCCAAGAACTTGAAAGGCATTCTGCCGCAGCTGGTTGTATACGTGGTTGTCCATACTTTTGACTGTCAGATAGACTGGTCTCTGCTTGTGGATACATAATAGCAATGTGTACTTACACTGACGAAGCGAAACAGTGGGCTGATGCGAAGCTAGATACTATCCAACAGAGAAGAGCAAGTGCGATTGGAAAGGTAGAGAGCGCTGGGGTCTTCGGTTCGCGATTTGGATACCAGACGGAGTAAGATGGTTCTATTGACCTGAAGATGGCGGGTGGTGTTCAGAGAAAATAGCACTATAGCACGACTAGCGCTATCTCAAAACCTGGTGGGGTAGGTGGCGCGGTGTTGAGGGTGCAGTGGTAACTGGAGCCAATCATAGCGCCAAGGCGAACGCCCCGCGTGCACAGACCCCAAGGATGAGTCCTCGTTCACACTGCTGCCAGTTAACACTGTTTATCGTATAAACGTGCCACGGTGATATGCTGTATCACCGAATCAACCCCCCTTAGAACTGGCAAAGGAGACCATTTTTGTGGCCTTTCAAGCGCTGTCACGATTTTGGACTGTCCAGCTCTGTTGGGGGCTACATGCGGTAGCTTTGTATGTTCAGTCCCACCCAGCCCCATATAATATGGGCGCCTAAAAAACGATTGATTGCCCAGCGCTAATTAATTGGGTGACAGTCTCCTGGTATCTTTCTATATCTGTACCGTGGGCTAAAGAAACGTCGCTGCGGCGTGACGGAGCGCGTTCGTTGGAGTCGCGAGACTGCAGATCGCGGAAGAGAAAAGTAGGTCCAGTCCCACTCTCCGAATCCTGCCTTTTTCTGGCTCTGCCATCCCATTTGCAGACGCTGTACGAACAATTCTTTCTCGACCCGCCCAGTCTGACTTGTTCGTTTACTTTGCGTTCGCTGCTCGCTCTGCTTCGTGCCTCACGTTCTCTCGTCGTCATTGGATTGACTTCGCTCCATTACTTCGATTTCAACGTATCCCTACCATACTGAAATCTCGATCCAGAACCTCCAGCCTGCATCTTAGGATACGCCATTTCCTAAGTCTTCGGTAGCTCGGTTATACTACTCTAAAAGCAATACACACACGATTTGTCGATTTGAGTATTCGTTGCTCGAAGTTTGGACTACAATCATGGAATCACTGCTCAAGGAGCAAGATGCGTTGCTGGAAGAAGTTGCAGTTGTTTTGCCCAAACTCAAGACCATACTTGATCTGCGCGGCACCACCTCCAGCAGTACATGGGAATCTGTCAAACTCTTGATGCCTGACACCTGGAAGGTAGTTCGGTTCTTTGAGAGCCATTACTCAACAACTCTCGATTTCAACAATGTAGAGTCCTGGCTGGAGCAGATTAAAGAGAAGATATCTAAGTATAAGGAAAATCTTGAGGATCTTTCCGAGCATGGGGTCAATTTCAACGCTCTATCTGATCGGGACTTTGCAAAGCCAAACTTGGAAGAGATGATGGAGAAGGTGGCTGTGGACAAGTCCCAATTTAAATTGATGCAAAAAATGATGCCAAGTTTTTTTGGAGCGAACTGGGCATCTCAGAGAGATGCAATCTACAGACGAGCAGAAATCGATGGGGAGTCGTCGGACAAAAAGATACCTCTGAGTACATTCAAGCTGAGCGTCAACAAGGTTGCGAATGAGATCCTCGATATGTGGAAAACCCTGAGGGAAAGTGGAAGCGGAATGAAATCCTTTAAAAAGCAGTGGGACAAACTCCAACCAGAGGCACGGAAGAGTTGGCTTCAACAATTCACCGAACTCCACCGATGTCCAGGCCTGGCTATTCACATGCTGGCGCGGTATCCGAACGATCGTTTAGACAAAGAAGCGTTTCTGACACCTCTGCTCAACGTGGAGGACCTGGCTGAAGCAGATGTTCTTCCAGATATGTTACAAACTCGGTCATCCATACATCCGAAGATGTTCTTATCTACAGATACCCGCCTTGTTGAGCTTGGATACTGGTACAAATCAATTACGCAGATGCAAGTTGAAGGAAGAATGTCATTTTATTCAGAAATTGGCATCGACGAGGGAGGTTCCCTGTACGGGATACAATTTGACCCTGACGCCTTCAAAAAGCCACACCTTACTGATCCAGCTATCGGCTTACATCAACTCATAGCGCAAAAGAAAACTTATTGTTTTCTTGTCTCGTGTCTTTCGGCTCAGATAGAGCCTTCTGTCGACCCAACCACTAGTACCAATAGGGACAAATGTGAAAACCATCACTCGCTTCTAAGTCGCTCTGCGCTACTACAATACAAGAGACCAGACTATATAGACTGGGATTACTTGACAGATGTTTTCAGATCGTCCGCTGATGAAGCGATGGACGATCTGTGGCAGCTCCGGAACGACGCAGATTATTGGGATCTGCGGTTTACGGACATGGAAAGGAACACTTCGAAGTTCTTGCATTCTGTCTTTGGACGTATCGATGTATTTCTCACTGTTGGTGAAAAACTACGTGTTTATCGCAACGATCAACAGATCAGCTCCTCTGGTGATTTGTCGGCAATCCAACTTTCTTGCGATGATGCCCAGATCACTGGCGCGATATCCATGCATGCTACACTTCGCTCTATTCTCAACGAGATAATTTCTTCGTTGCGGGGCAATGCGTGGCTGCACAGAGCGACGAAAAATAAGACATTACGCTATCTTTTCAACTTAATGGAGAAGAATGATCCTTTAATACGATTGATGGGTTTCGATGTAGTCTTGAGAACTATTGAGCGGGAGCTTTCGGGTGACAAACTTGAGAAAGCGCCCCCATTCCCAGTCGTGCAAACGCTCCACGACATGTCAGTTGTCGCTGCTTGCATGCAGGAGACTTCCAAACACTACAATCTCATCCTCAACCTCGACTGCAAATATACCACTTTGGCCCATGACGCCACATCGGAGTGGCAGGAACGTGAACGACCGTGGGTAATACCTATCCAGAAATTTCTGAAAATAATCCAGCGCAAGGGAAACGAATTCAATAAAGAGGCCAGAGACGAGAATATTTCCTTGGAATACAGCCACTGCAGGTTCTGGAATAGCATTGATGACTGCATGAGCAACTGGAACAAGTCTGACCCTATTGTCCGTATGATTCTCAGCCACGCTCCTGTCCCGAGAGCATCCGAACCCACATCCGCATCAACTATCTTGGAATCGAGGTGGAGATCACAAGATACGAACACCACGCCAACTGAAACAATGACGAAAAAGTCGCGAAAACGGCAAACCCGACGGAAAACCCGACGGAAACTCCAGAATTGTTGCGGACTGTCGGCGTCTCATCCACCACAGCAGAGCCGCGTCGTCGGCCCTCTGTAGTCATCACGGCGACCAGGGATATAGAGTTCTGGAATTGCATACAGAACGAGAAAGGACAGCAGCGCTTTGGGCAGTGGAGGGGCTTTCTCGAACGTATAGGTTTTGAGGTGACATACCAAGCGGGATCAGGGTATCGATGCGTATTCAGGAGCCCTGAGGGAGGATTCCATACAATAGTATACCACGATTTGCACGGATCGAACGATAACAAGCTCCCACATCATTTGGCACAAAGTCTGTGGACTGGTAGGCTTGAAAGACATTTCAACATCATTCTGTCAGCAGAGGGAGCGGCGGGTTGAGGAAAGAGACTACTATATTAAAATGGAGTACACATTGGACCTTCACATCGCTATGGCAGAGGGGAAATAATCTCGGCCTTATTGCCATAACGGTATGCCAGTGAAGACATTCTCTGAGTAATGTCCTCTTGTTCGCCGGTGTATAGAGGTTACTCATTCAGACAAGCAAACTGTAGCTAGTAGCCGCCAGGCAATGTCCTGAGAAGAATGATTTTAGTATTGAATGAGAGGGAAATGGTAGAACTCCGAAGGAGTAGGTCAAGGAGACAATCTTAGACAGTTCAGAAGTTGTGGGCCCCGAGCCCACAAGTTCCTGGCAGGAGAAAAGACAACATGCCCTTTACGCAACTGCGTCCCGTGGTCTGTGAGAAGGTTGTTGATTGTCTATTACCTCTTCGAACGAGGACTTAAGATAATAGCTATCCATACAAATGTCACGTGCTAATCCCCCGAATTCCTCCACTACAGTATTTTCAAAAAGTCCCTTTTTTCTCTACATTCTCAAACCTGTAGGATTATAGGGACACAGGGGCTAAGAAACAATGGCTAGCACCTGACCAATCGTGGGTGTGCAAAATTAACCCTCAGTCATCCTCTAGTTACTTTTGGCGTTTGATCGGGAGGCTCTGGCTGAATAAAACATGAGTGGTCACTTTCACTAAATCCAGTTTCATGGGCCTTGGCAGCTGCACCGAGACACGGGCAAACCATCGATCCTGCTCAAGCATCGGGGAGCAAGCTTGGGTAATGGAAAGTGGCCGACGTACACTACCAGATGGAGAATACAAGGGCTTTCTGCAATACATGATCGGCCTAAAGGAAGGGTTTTGGGGGAGACCGCCTAGGTAACGCAAAATGAGACTTCAAGCTCTCGCGGTATAAAATGGCAGCCACTGAGACATCGTCCTAGTTGACCTATCCGTGATGTATGCTTAAGGATCAAACTGAGAGGCACGTAGAGTGAGATACGTGGTGAACCTCAAGAGACCAGAAGCCCCGATTACTGGGTGAAACACTGGGGTAGTGGCTCATGCAAGTAAGCCTGTCGAAGCTACTTCATATCTTTTAGCCCCAGACTCCATACCCTGCCATGAATCCTGTTTGGGACGCCTTACTACGAGCCCACAGACGAAGGAATAATATTAAGGCACACGTACGATTCCGCTCGCGGAGGCCTTGAAGACCATGAGCTTGGGGGGGCGTCTGCTGCTCGGATCAACATCCGGCGGCACGATCCTGGGACACAATCGCTCGCAAGGGCGGAAAAATGGCAAGGCACCTCCTGCCAGGGGCGCAATTTTGTGCGTGATAAACTGTTGAAAGAAGCCATCCTATACTACAAGGGACAATTGCTATCGCCATTTCTCTCTTTTGAGTCACGCGATGACAGTGCCGTCAATAAGGGCTTTCTTTCGTTCTGGTGAGCTATATTACAGTAGTAGTAGTGGCGTAAAAAAGGTCATAAAAGAGGGGTTAAATAAACTCCCCTACACCTAGCAGAAGAAGCAACCTAATGATCCATAATAATTATCACAAGAATGATCATATGTTGATCAATATAATCAAGAAACCATCTAAAACAATCGCTTTAAGCACCCTTTCAAGAATAGTGTCTACTTTCCTATTCGGTATTAGCCGAATATCGAATACAAGGTGGAAAGTCACGTGACATGGATCGAGGGCCGATGATAGGGACATTGGCCCGAGAGGTCAAATGGGCTCCAGCCCTTTACAAGGGCCACTGTTTTCAGCAATTGATGTTAATGAGAAATTGCAGAATGACCTCATAATATCACTTGCATGAAAGACGGAATATGAACCGTTAAAGCCTCTTGCAGCTGAGCAGAAACTCGGCGCCACCAATGACACCGCTCCCGAAGAGGGTCACGAAACAAACGCAAAAAGAAAGAAAAAAGATAAAAAGAAACGAAAACAGCAAATTAGAAATCCCGCTCTGTCTAATACTAGTGAAGCTACTGAGGATCCTACCCGAACAAGAGGGCATGCTGAACCTACAGCTGAATCCGCCGCAGTAGGAATGCAATTTGACGCGACATACACGATTCCCTCACCCGATGACCAAACTGAACATGAACATGCGGAAGACAGCGAAGCTGCCAGGCAGGCTCCTGATGCTGAGGAGCATAAAGAAGAGGACTGCTTTCGCATCCAAGTGTCCGCAAAGCATTTGATTCTGTCCTCTCCTGTGTTTAAAAGAACACTTACAGGTGGCTGGCAAGAAAGCCTCCTCTTACTCAAAAAAGGCTCTGTGGAGATTACTGTATGCGGTTGGGATCTTGAAGCCTTCATGATTTTGATGGACATATTTCATTGTCAGCTTCAAAATCTACCTCGAGAAGTGAACCTCGATTTGCTTGCAAAAATAGGTATTTTAGCAGACTACCATGAATGTCATGCGCTTGTTCGATATTTTACAGAGAGGTGGATCAACCCTTTGAAAAAAAAATTCCCTGAAACGTATTCTCGCGATTCAATGCTCTGGGTATGGGTATCATGGGTATTCGCATTACCAACCGAGTTTGAAAAATCTACAGCAATAGCAATATCGCAGAGCAGCGGTCTAATTACAAGCCTTGGTTTGCCAATCCCATGGAAAGCTATCGGTGAGGTCTCAGATATTATGATTTATAGGAACATATCATAACCTTTGCCCAGATTATATGAACAGTCGCAGAGAGAATGGGATTCTCGCCATCCTTTCCTCGCTCAATGGCCATCGTGATGCGTTCTTGGACGGAAGCAGAGGATGCTCTTTTGATTGCAGCTCAACCCTGTTCGGGGCTCTGACGAAGTACATGCATTTCAATGCTCTACTCTCTCCACAGTCTAAGCCTCATTGCCCCGGCCTAAGTTACCATGGGCTTGAGGGGATAGTACGTTCTTTTGAATCCCCACAATTGTGTTGTTATAATTGGGGTTATGAACAATACTCGCAATATTCGGGGTACCATCCCTCCAATGATCGGGATTCCCATTCTCCCCTGATAAATTTGCCTGAAGATATCATCAAAGGTTTGAGTTTCTTCGATTTGTCTTCGCAGTAAACTCAGAGATGATCTTAGTGACACCTAATCAATTTGAAATTACCCCGTATACCTTTGCTATTCTACTATATTGTCATCCTGGGGGATGACTAAGATAAGAGTGCCTAACGAATATAGCTACAACGCGTAGGCACTCCGAAGACAACATGATCCCATATCGTACGATATAGGATACCACCGCAGTACGCTGGAAGACCTCGGTAGACACTAGGTTAAATAGCGGTCTACCTTAAGTAGCAGACCAGGGAGGAGGACTTCAAGAAGATAGCTTAGGCAATACACTCCTTCGCAAGACTCAAGAGAATTCGCTAAGTCCCCCTTCCCATATTCGACTGTCACTACAGCTTATAGCGCTATACACTCTCGCCCAGTCGCCTACTTACCGGCTGTGTGCTGAGCGATATTGCAATATTATACCAGAATCATAATGGATCCACCGCAGTCACGTGTGTGCAGGTGGAATCCGTTGTTGTTTATAATTCTGCTATACATATAGTCTGCGCTTACATCCATGCCTAGACACAAGCGGTCCGTCATTGAACCTGTTCCTACGGTTACCAATATTGCTCTCGCTGTAAAACAATCCGTGAGGTCCTTGACTTTTTACGCGTTGCTCCTTCGAGGGCGCAAGCCTCTAAACAGTTTGCAACATGCTTTACTTGCCGTGTAAGTTGTCTACGCAGCCTTTACAGAACTTTCTAACTCTTGTACCGGTTACTCGACTTCGCCAACACACCGCTTCGGTCGCTCCAACAGCTTCACGCCCAGCTTCACGCCCAGTATCCCCTACTGCCTCCGTTGCTCCTGCGGCCGCTGAGTTGCCTCCTCCTAATCTACGGTCCGAAAAGCGTCTGCTGCTCTTCCTAGGCCTCGCCGCCGTCGTGTTGCCACTGAAGGGTTCCAGCACTGCTCGCGTTGCGGCTGCTGTAAGGATATACAGGAGTTCTCGTGGGCTGTGCCGAACCGAAATGTTACCGGCGCAAGCTACAGTCGCTGTTTTAACTCGTCGTGTTTGTTTACCTCTATATTTTGCGGTCCTTTCTAAACTTGGCTTTAGTTGAATGAGTATCGTCTTTCTAACCCTGTACCCCAACGGGTAGTCCCTCCTGCAAACCCTGTTGAAGACGACCCCGACGAGCCGCAAGGCGACCCTGATAATGACCCGGCCACCATACGGGGCTTGCACGGTCCTCTTCCGCTCGCTACCGATCTCAGATACATTATATAAGACCGTTGGATTTGGGCCGCATGGATCTAGGGTGTCCATACTGCAAAGCTTTACACTGGAAGGGTGAAAGAGAAAATGGTTCTACACTCCGCAATCCCGTCTTTACAAAGTGTTGCCTTCGCGGTGACGTGCAACCTCCCCTCGTCCGTGAGCCACCATATGAATTAAGCCGCTTATATACTGAAAACACCCCTGAGGCCCGGAATTTCGCCGTAACATTCGCCATTATAATGGCGCGCTGTGTTTCATGTCTATAAATGTGAAATCTGACAACCGTACCGCTGGCCAACACGGTCCGGTTCAAATACAGGGTCAATTACTCCATTTGCAAGGACCGTTACTTGCTGATGAAGGTGAGAAGCCGAAGTAGGCTCAGGGCTAACTAAAATTGACCCTACTCACTCTGCTTACATCCCGCTGCAGTATCCGTTGCTGTTTCCCTACGGTGATGGTGGTTGGCAGTGGGGTCTGCAGCTGCAGAATATGGGCCGCCAGCGCCATAATAAGCATCTTACAGCCAGGCTTTTTCATTCGTATCGTCTTTTCACCCGTACCAACCTGTTCAGCTCATGGCTGTGTGCCGGCCGTCTCTGGCAGCAGTATTTAGTTGACGCCTGGGCTACGATCGAGCAGTCCAATTAGATTGGATTACAAGGCACCAGGATGATATACGGGCCGATTTATACACTGGACTTACTGAGCCTTGCCCATGCAGATAGGGATGTGGAAGCGACTATTGAATCTGGCCGTAGAGTTATTTTACCATCAGCCATGTTGGCAGTCCACGTTTTATGTAGCAGCTATATCAGGACGCAATGTCAATTTTGTCAATATTACGGGCCGCCCTCTTTGTTTATTACATTTACTGCGAACCCTAAATAGAACGAAATTTCACAGAAATTATTGCCCAGCCAGAGCTACAAGGAACATCCAGACCTAATAGCCCACGTGTTCAACCTAAAACGGACCTAATTTATTTGAGATGTGTACTGATGTGCATACACGTGGTATTTTCGGTAAATACTACGGTCCTTTTTTTACTATTAAGTACCAGAAGCGTGGCCTCCTACATATGCATTTAGTTCTCTTTTTTAGCGGGCCGTGATCGTTTTCTTCAGGCGCTTCATATTGACGAGATTGTGTGTGCAGAGCTCCCTAACCCTGCTGACGACCCGGAACTGTACGAACTCGTAAAGACACATATGATCCACAACCCCTGCGGTCCGGGCTTTAATGCAAAAGCCCCCTGTTGAGGTAAACATCCTGACTCGGGTAATTTATACTGTACCAAGCGGTTCCCAAAGGGCCGTATAATGGAGACACTCCCGCAAAAGACCGATATCCCTAGTACCGTCGCCGTTGTCTGGGTTCAGGCCGTTTTATCAAAGATTTACGTGGCCGTTTAATTGAAAATTGATGATATATGGGTGGTCTCTTACAATCCGTATCTTTTGAAGCAGTTCAAAGCCCATATTAATATTGAGATCTGTCGTGGTGTTGAGGTTATCAAATATATTACTAAATATATTTATAAGGGTCCGGACCGGGTGCGCCAGCTAGCGGAGCATTACCGTACCCGTTCATCCGACGCCCACTTTCACCCACCGCCCGCTTTTCTGGTTCAACCACCAAGTAGAAATGAAGCTATACAGCCACAAAGAAATGATAAAATGATTAGATTTTTGGTGGGATAGAATAATTGACATAAAGAAGCTATATAGCTATTTTTAGGTGACACGAAATCGCTGCGGAAGCCGTATTTGCCTTCCTCGACGACTTACCATAACATGTGCCTCTTCCACTTCTTCCTTGCTCTTCTTATTAATATCTTCAATTTCTTCTGCAGTAGAAGGCTTCTTGATATTCTTCTTGTCCTGGTTGGCCAGATTAATTTCATTTTGAAGCTGTATAGCAGCTTCCTTTGCTGCCTTTTCCTCCTCTTTCCGGTGTTTCTTTTCCTCCGCTTCCTGCATCCGTCTACTCTTATTAAAAGCCTTGATTCTCTTTCGTTCTTCAATCAAGCGTTTCTTATCTTCTTTCTCTTAGCTGACGGCGTATCTTATCCTCCTCTTTTGCAGTTCTAGCAAGTCGTGCAGCTTCCTCCTTCCTGGCTTGAAGATCACGGGCTTGTTGAATCTTTCTTGGGCTAAAAAAGATTGCATTACCGTCCTCCGGAGCCTGAAGTTGAAGCTGTAAAGGCTTCCCACGCTGTCGCTTCTTCTTCTCATTTTTTAAGGCGTTTTCAAAGCCCTTACAGCGTAGTTTAAGAAGAATATTCTCGGTACAAAGATGCATCATCGCATTATTTAATTTCTGGACCCTTTGGTCGTAAACATCCAAAAAACTTGCTTAAGAAGCTTTTCAATGCGACGCCAGTCCTCTGCTTTCAAGTAACTTTAGGACCCGCTAGAGAGGGTTTTCCATGCTTTTGGGTGAAGCGTGCTAAAACAATCTCTGGGTCCCAGGAGCAACCAACAGATTTCCATCCACTGTTAATGTTTTTGGTTGAAAAAGCTGCATTCAGCTTGGCCAAAACAATCTGAAAAATCTCGCTTTGTAATTGGCTGATTCCTTGAGAATCATATAAATTGCTCCAATCTCTCACTATACGCCTGAGATAAAGGACCAAAGAGACTGACATCAAGGGGCTGCAGAGTATGCGTTGAATGAGGCGGAAAAACACTTAAAGATTTTATTCTCCTGCAGTAATTAATAAACTGCATTGTGATTGGGATCCGTGGCCATCAAGAATTAAAGCGCCAACGCCTCCGTGCTTTCTCTTTTGTCTCACGGTAAAATAAGGTAAGCCACGCATATCCCAGCTTATCATTTGTCCAGCCACTAGCTGATGATGAAAAAAGCAATAATGCTCACTAGGATTAAAATCCTGAAGCCATGTATCTTGAATATCTTCAGAGGCTGCCTGGTAAATCAGACCTGGTGAAGGGCAGTCCCATCAGCGCAAATACAACCAATTGTAGTAATCCATTCTCTATTCCCATCTTGAAGTCGTTGCTTGACCCCTCCCTGCTCATACAAGTGTCGTGAAATGATTCTTTTAACTTTTGACAGTACCCCAATAAGAAAACCTTTCTCATCATGTTGTAAATATCCCTTGATTCAATCCCATATTCCTCAATCTTTCTGGGCCAAAGCTCGAAGTAGAGTGCATACTTGTAGGCAGAATCAGCCTTTTTGCGTGAGGAATCCATTGCACTTGTATAGCGGTAAATAAGGCCATTATGGTGTCTCTTTAGAAAGCGATTCGGCCAGCTGTTTCCGGGCTTAATTCCAGTAATTTCCTTTGCGGAATTGCGTAACATCGAATGGGATGGTGGTAAGCCACGCTCAGTGAGTTGATTAATCCATTTAATAAGCTCTTTTGACTGCTGGTTGTTGAGGATTCGCTGATTTTCATACTGGTCGTCTCGAGAGGCCTGTACACCGCGATGACGTCTTGACAGCGTTGATCGGCTTATACCGTAAGTTTTTGCAAATTTCGAGTAATTGACCTTTTTCTCTGGCCCCAACTTCTCTATATCAGCAATAGCTTTTTCAATTGAGTCCATATTAATGGTGTTGTGGTCTATTAAAATCTATCTAAAAAGTCGGTGTGTAGATACAAATTGGGCGCCGGATGAATCTGGGCGTCAGGTGACCGGGTCCGGTAGGTATCCTCTCCACGCTTCGCATTCTAGTTAATGGGAACGCCATTATGGATGAGCGGCCTAACAATGTGAAACTAGGAGTTTTGCCTGTGTATTTAGCAACGCCCGCGTAGCAGGAGGTCACATGGTGCAGGAGCAGTCCTATATAGCCCTTACTTAATAGTCCTTACAAGGCGTAGCCTGCGACATTTCAACTATCCAAAGTATGATTCTTAGCGCCGCTAGTTCATTAGATAATTGCTATGCAGTGACTTCAGTATGACTCAATTACAAAGTTCAGAATAATATGTCTCCTACCGCGAACGGTAAACTAGGCCTCGCCACGGCCTGTCCATTGGCAGACTGAGCGTCCATAAACTACTCAGCACCCGCCCATTTCTGCATAGATTTATGGTTTTTACAGTCGTGTTAGTTATAATAATAGTCAATAAAGCACTGCCCCTCAAGTAACTACAAAATGTGGCAACATCCCTAGCCAGCTTCAGAAACGTCATTTACACCAACCAGACCTCTGCAACCATGTAAATACTGGCTGACACTCTGAATCACAACTGCATGGTTGGATTCATTATGTCCAGACTATGGCATCTTAATAATATTCGATATCTATTCTATTAGGGCATATGGTTCTAGAATGTCTATTTTGACTGCAGTTACTACATCGTGGTGGCGCATGCTTCATAGGATTGTCTTCTCGTGCCAGCTCCAAGTCTCCAACTTCTACCTTTTATTTTATCTATTAGGTTGGCACACCCATCCAGAGCCTATTGGCATCTAAAAACAAACGATGATGTCAGAAATAGAAGAGATTATGCAACCAGGGAGTTTCCGGAAGCACTGCACTCGAGGGAATTGTGTCAATATAAGAATTGGTCGTATTCTATTCCACCAATTGTATTCATAATATGGCTATCTGATTCAACATAATAATAGGCCTGATCTCTTATACTACGCATATTTTGTCTACTTATATATATGGGGGAGCTCGGTTGAGCTGCTGAATAATCGCTACACTGATCATTTCCGAATATATTGAATATCACATACGTATACCGAATGGAGGTAATTTATATCGACAAATTGTATGTGAATGGAAAATCGTTGTATTGGTGAGTTGTGGGCCGAGCTGATGTAGCCACGGCCCGAAGCCGGGAGCCCCCACAAAACGCTCTAAAAACAAAGCGACTCCAATACGAAACCTAATATTTGCGACTGTGGGCGGTGGCAGACGCAATGTATATTTGCCGAATGCGTCAAACGCCACATAGCATTAGTCATGCTGTCATATATACATCATGCATTCTGTATTAAATGATTAATTTTAGTATTTTATCCTGAGGTTTGGCAAATTATAAATACCTGTTAATCTCTCCACGCTATCAGATTCATACCTAAAAGTCTAGCCTACAATGGGTACCGACCACCCAATACCTGAGTCATAGCATACTTCTGTATTGTGAGTCACTCTTATGATATTGAACTTCGTGATTCGTAAATTAAAGTAAAGCTTACCTTACCAAGAATTACAGTTCCTTTATATTTAACTTTATTATGAAGGCTCTCTCTATCTTGCTGACTTACGCTGCTCTAACCACTGCCAATCGGTGGGGTTGCAGATGCTTGTGGTGTTGGGGAGACGACTACGCTGTTACTAAGGCAAACTGCGACCAGCGTGGTGGCGATATGGTGTACTGCGCAGATACGCTTTATTATTGCGATTCGTATCCCGACGACCAGTGGAAAAATTATTGCAATGCTCATTCCTGTCGTGGAGGAGTTACTTCCTGCTAATGAATAAATGGGTGATAAAAAGTCGTTATTTGAAGGGAGAAGTGCTTTTGGGGTTGTCCGCAGCGCGTTTCTTGATGCCAGTGAATCAATCATTGATAGTTTCTTGGCATACCTAATTCTGTGTACCACAGTTTACTGTCCACAGTCCCTCACCCCCTCTAAAAAAAAAAAAAAAAAAAAAAAATTTAATGATAAATAATTTCAGCTGGCTGATAGCTGTGCTTGATATTTTTGCTAAAAGAAGAATAGTAGTACGGTAGTCGTGCCCTGCCCTGTCTCAACTTAGCTAACGTAATCGAACACCTAGTTCACCCAGGACACAGGTGAGTACACAGGTCAGGTGCCGCTTCCCAGAAGCCGTCAGCCGGCCCCACCGGTCTTGGCACAAGCGGCGCGGCACCTCACCCTTTAAATACCGTACTACAGACGACGAAATTCAATTTCAATTCTCCCTCCATAAATATTTCTTACCATCGAATATTTTCCCTACTCTAACTACTTGCTAATCAATTATCAACTGCTTATGCCAGTTAAATTAATATGGATGTAGAAGATTCTTTGTCACATTTTGGTGAGGTTGAAGACACATCGAATACGGATTGTACTGGAGAGGTAAGAAATCTAACTAGTTCTTAAGTACTTACTAACTGCTTATGTATTACTTAGCAACCAAGTGCTTTTATTCAACTAACAGATGCAAAATCAAATCCACTTCGAACGCTGTTTATTGAGTATGCAGATGATCTACCAGAGTACCCTAGAACTGATCAAAATGGATACACTTATATTGTATCTATTAGTGGCCGATTACAAGAGGCAGAACATATAATACAAGATGTAAGTGCTTCTTAAGTAGTTGGTAAGCAGTTATTAACTACTTATAGATTCAATACTCCAGGTCAAGCATCCGCGGTGCAAGATCAAGTGTTAAGTCGTCCTTTTTAAACTGCTCAGTTAAAAAATGGATGTGGAAATGTTCTGGAGCTTTAATATGTGAATATTTAAAGCCGAGTCTTCGTACACTGCATCATACTTATCTGGACGAAACAACATGGGAGGAAATTCAAAACATTCGAAAGAATATTGATTTGATTGAAAGGGACATTCGGAAACGAAATGCGTACAGGTAAGTACTTTATAACTAGTTAAAAACTAGTTATGAACTACTTACTAACTAATTATATCGGTATATAGTCTCTATCGGTCAAAAAAAACATTTTTTCAGAAGGGCCTTGCATGTATTGAACAGCTTCCAAGCTGCGCACCAAGGTTTAAGAGGCACTTCTATCCTGTGAGTGTTAAGCCAATTAAAAAGTAATTAGAAAGCAGTTACTAATTGCTTATTAGTGCAATATCGCTCATCACACGGCCGGTTAGGTAGGGGACTGGACGAGGTAGTAGAACACTATGAGCTGTAGGGACAGTCGAATAGGGACGGGGGCCCCAGGGGCCGCCGTGATGGCGGCCCTGGGGAGGACTGAGGGAATTCTATTGAGTCTTCTGGATGAATGTAT